TATCCTCCTCTGAGAACACTTGGGAGCCTTTAGGAAATCTAGGCAATGCTAAAAAGGCTATTGCAGATTTCCATAGGCTTTACCCCTCTGCTCCCAGAAGGATTTCAGCCATCACCTTTGATAGGCTTCACTTCCAACCACTCATTAACTATACTATACCACCTAAAAGGGTTCTCTTTGATTGGACATCTGGAAAGAAGAAGGGAAAAGCAGAAGGAGTATCAACATGCTGGGACAGCATGTCTAGAAGGGGGGGTGATGTCAGGGCACCAGCTCATTGCTTGGTCAAGAGACATGACTGAGCCTTTATGACATGGAAGTAGCTGGTATACCTTGGCATGTGCTGGAACCTGCTGGAAGGATTGGATGGTCAGGTGACCTGCTGTGCATGGCTGTGCATGACCTCATATGACCTCATCCTTGGTCATATGACCTGATCACCTGACTAGGCTGAGTAAGCAAGATGTTCTAGCAGGTTCCACCACAGAGGTATAAATATAAGGCCTACTCTGCCTGGGGACTGTCTCTTCAGACTTGGTCTCTTAGGATCATCCACAGGTACCTATACTGTAGATAGGTCTTAGTCATCAGGTCTACTCCACTTCCTTGTTGCCTGCTTAGACTCTTGGCACTCTTAGGTGAGCAGACTTAGTCAGCCTGTGTTGCCCTAACAGGTGAATAGGCAGTGAGAGAATCTGACAGTGAGGATGTTGATATTCAAGTGGTTGAGGAGCATATCTGATTGCCAGCAATTGACCCTGATGATGACCTTAGTCAACAAGCAGTGTCTGTCAATAGCCGGAGAGTAGCGGTGTTTGAAATGGAGGCATGTTATGGTACTCAGCCACCCAAGTGTTGGGTCTAGGTGGGGTCTAGCATGGGTTTGAAGTGCGACGCGGAGCTGTCCTCTTAGGCTCTCCATAGGAATACGAGGACTGAAGTACGATGCACAATCTTATATTTGCCGCTCTGACCATCACCGCATCAGAAGTGGTCAATTAATGCACGTCGAAACCGACACGGAAACCCGGCGCGACTTTCGGAAGTGGAGGACCTTAATTTCGGCCCACAAATCACAGCCACATCCGATCGGAGTGTCTTACCTCCTGGCCTCCATCCTGATTTCATGCCCAGGCCGTTCGGACGCGACTCTGCTCCTGCTCAACGCCAGGCCAGCGTTTTCCTTTAGGACATATATTAGTTGTACACCTTCCTGGGAAAACACATATCGCCTGCTTGCAGGTCGTAGCATGGCACCAGTCGACGACAGCTGCGATGTTTGCCGACAACAACTATTACGACATCTTAGTTCCTCCACCAGCTGATCCGGTCCAGCCCGCAGCGCCGGTGAGATATCGTCTATCTACCGTGAAGTGCGTGTGTTGATTGTTGACCGCTTGGATGCAGTTGAAAGAAGGTCCATACGAGTTCGACGCGAGTGGGCTTCGTATCAAAGGGTTTGCGGAGGCGACGCCACAGGAGATCATGGCCGAGATCCATTCGCAATATGATGGTCTACCGAAGCAGTATGGTGGAGCGCGGTTTGTAGCTGCACGGAGAAAGAGCAAGCAGTTCTTCCAGGTACCCAGTTCTTCTCCGTCTCTACCACAGCCGGTCCCTGAGCGCGTGCAGGCCCATCTTATGTGGTACGGCGTCAAGTTCCCGCCCAACGCTGGGATTCGGGATCTCGAAGTGTACCTTGCACGGGAAATGCTTCGCGAAGCGCCGGTGCCGCAGATATCTACAGAAGTGCGGGCAATAGAGGCCGACATGCAAGAACGATACGAGTCGAGCAGCCCGCCCATGCTGAGGGAAGCGGAACCGTGCCCCGAGCTACCGGAGACGAACACGCTCGATCTTGCCCTTTCCCAGGAAGTATACATCGAGTGCGACGCCAACAGCTTCCTCACTGACCCAGAAGGCTTCCCTGGCTTATACTTCGGTACCGATACCCCCTCGACCCGCGTCGTCGTCCTGCAACGCTTGCCCGACGCGTACCGCCAGTTTGCGGACGAGATGCTGTGCCACAAGCATGGGCTCAAGAGCGTGCATATGCCCCGCCCGGGATGTAGGGCACAGCACTACGACATCGTCCTGTCGCGGGCTGGGAGTGCGTTAGCAGCGAAAGTGTTAGAACTGGGGTCAAGCCAGAGGGGAAGAGGGCGGCATGGGTAGCTACTCCCGGAATGTATCTTGTATCTATATGGCTGTCTTTTGTCCGTTTGAAGTTACTGGTTCTTTACTCCATTATACTAGATTTCCGAGTAATGCACTCCACCTCGGCAGGGAGGTTCGGCCGACGGCCCGCGTGCGGGCCGGGTAACCGGTTCCCTAATAAAGTGAGGGTATCCCTTCATTTTCAGGGTAGAATTCCGGTAATGGACTGGGCGCCAAAGTTGTTGATTGAACAAGGTGATTCTATCACGTGATCTCCTGCTATTCTGTCGGAAGTAAGACTTCCAATCCCTAACTCCGATATACTATTGGCGTTCTTGGCACGTGGGCGCTTCTCATCAGCGACAAACAGCACAAGCGAAGTATATAAGAACACCTTGGTTTCATTCATCTCTACATGTCCAGACTGCTCCCCCTCTCCCCCTTCTCCTCCTGACAACCACCATGGACAACTACACAAACTCAACAACGAACACCACCCTCTCCTCCGACCCTTACCTCGCCTACCTCCCCTCCCTTGCTCGCTCTCTCCCTGTACAGGCAGCAATGTTAGGCTCTATCCTCACTTTCTTCTTCTGCTTGCTCGTCCATTTACTCCTTACGAGTCCCTATCATCGGCCTCTGAGCAAGCTTAACTGGTCCTTACAGGTCCGTCTCCTCCACTAAGTGCAGCACGCTGCTTATGGAATACTAGGTCTCAGCAGTCGTAGCAGCCATGTTATCCGTCTCCGCACGCATAGGCCTCGTCTTCCAACACAGTCATACGCTGGGATCAGAATGGCCCTATATGCTAGACTACGTCGAGGTCGACCTGCCAGCTACGAACTGGGAAGTCGCAGAGAGCGCAGCGTGGTACATGCTCGAGGCTATCGTTGTCGGTCTTGTCCACGTGTGTCCCTTACCCACCATATACACCATTGCGGACAGTATACTCATGAAGCTATGTGGCAGATAACGAACATCCAATTCCTCTCCCTGCTCTTCCCATCCACAGTAGAAGTACGCATGATATGCGGCATGCTCGTCCCCCTCGCCGTCCTCGCCTCCGGGGTGAACTTCGCCTCTCTCTCCTCGGACCAAGGCACGATCGATCTAGGGGACGCGATCCGCAATGTGTGCAACAGCACTCTGATGCTTCTCTTTGCTGCTGCGCTCGCCATCTGGGGCTGGCTCAACCGGCGCAGAGCCTGGCGCACAGACGGGGGCACAGCAGCCTTCGGTGCAGGGGCAATCTCACTCGCCATCATCGGTGCGGGCGTCGGGTTCGCACTGATAAAGATCGACAACGTCCAGTGGCTTACCTGTTTCGGGTGGGCAGTGACCCTCTGGCAGAGTTTCCTAGCTTGGTGGTGGTGGGTCGGCTCAGGGATGGGGATAGGAGAAGTGGAGGAACTTCTGCGGACCCAGTACCCGGGATTCCAGGTTTCTGTAGGCGGGTCGTCGTTAAGCCGCAGCAGCTCGATGCGTTCTCTCCGCCCACGCCCGACAGGGCTGAACTTCCTGCGCAACCGTCTACGGCGACGGGACCCCGACGCGGGCGTATCCCAGGGCACGGACTCGTCCGACCCTCCCGCTCTGGTCAGACCACAAGCACCACCTCAGTTCCTCTCCCACCCGGCGCTCTCATTCCTCGTCCCGCTGTACCAGAGACTACGGGCGGCGCACCTCCGTGCCCGGGTGGTGCAGTTCGAGCAATCTGGGTTCTTGGGGTTGCATGGCGGGTGGTGGACTTGGGGTATGCGAAGGCCTAGGAGGGGGACGGTGTTCACCCCTGGAGGAGGGGAGGGAGGGGAGGGGGAGACAGTAGTGGAGATGTCGGATGTTGGGTGTGTTGGGGAGTCGCGTGAGGAGGTTGGGGAGAGCACGGGGACGGGGACAGATTTGGGAGCAGGGGAGATGGTGAGCGTGGCGAATGAGGAAAGGCGGGAGGGGCAGAGGGAAGGGCGAAAACCGGGAAAGTGGAGGAGGCATGATCGGACTGTGTATTGATTATGGACAGTGGATTGAGGTTGATATTAGATTGATATTGTAATACTGTAATTCATTGTAATCACAAATGTGTGTAATAAAGTACCTGCAAAAGGCTACTCTTTGACTCATTGTGGCCGGCCCTTTACAACTGAAGGGTCCGTGCGACGACGCTCGCGTCAAACGCCAATTACAGTGTACAACCCTTTGCTCTTAATTGCAGGGAAGGTAGGCAGCATCTGTATGCTGTTGGAGCCTTCGTACTGGAGGAGTATTCTTGGTTGACATCCAGGCTCACGCCGGCCGGATTATTGAGATCTACAGAGATTTGAACGCTCTGTAGTTAACAGGGCTGTCTCCACCCAAAATACCTTTGTTGGTGGGTGGTGTAAGGCTCCGCCAAGATGGCCCGGGTGCTGGGTAAGGCGGTCCATATGCCTGAGAACAGATAGGGCGTCCTTTTGTTAATTTAAACAATTACTATACATGGCAATATTAATCCCTTGACGCGACTGACATTGCATTGCATTGCGCTACACTGTACCACATCCTCCCTCTCCCCCCCCAACACACACAATGTCCTTCAACCCCATAATCACCTACACAAAATCCACGTACATCGAGACAGACACAGGCAACAAAGTATCCCGCCGCGCTACCATCTCCGGACCTCAAAACATCGTCCTAGGTGGAAAGAGCATCATCTCCCCACTCGCCGTGTTGCGGGGAGACCTGCGCAAGTCCGGTACCGCTCCCACAGTCGTCATCAGCCTAGGCAGGTACTGTCTCGTCGGGGAGGGAGTGGTCGTCCGGCCTCCGTATAAGACGTACAAGTCCGCGTTCAACTTCTACCCGATGAAGATCGGGGACGGGGTGCATATCGGCGAGGGGAGCGTGGTCGAGGCTGCTCAGATAGGGAACTGGGTCGAGATTGGAAAGAACTGCGTGATTGGAAAGTTTGTCATTATCAAGGATTGTGCGCGCGTAGCGGATGGGACGGTCTTGCCCCCCAATACGGTCGTCCCTGCGCTGTCGCTCTTTGGGGGATCGCCAGGTATGTCCTTACCGTCGCCTGGTCGGGGAGTGTGTGCTGATTGACGTCAAGGTAGGTTTGTGGAAGACCTGCCGGAGACGACGCAGGAGGTGGTAGAGGCTAGGACAAAGGCGTATTATAATCGCTTCCAACCGGCGGAGTGAGCGTGTCATGGGCATAGCGGCAGACGTGGGTAGCGTGTTGTTCTGCTCGTTCTACTCTGATTCTTCTTAGCGAGCTTGCACGCCAGAACCGGTCAGAGAGATGTACAGCTCGGTTCCCTGTTCTATCGCTCTGATAAATTCGGCAGTACTACCATGCAGTATCCCGTGCCCTTTTGGCATCTTTCGCCTCAATCTCTTTGTATTCTACCTGATACCTATCAACCCATACCCAATCCAAGCCTACCCATCCCACTCCCTCAAGCTGTCAACGGCGTCCTAGCCATAAGCGCCAACATATCCCGGCCCAAATTCGCAGCAGCGATCATCGTGACCTCCGCTATGTCTCATCAGCACCCCAACCAGCAGAACAGCAGAGGCAGTGGGAGGGGAGAGGAAGACCCACCTTGGGTATCGTACGCGGGTGCGACTTCGACGATGTCCGCACCGACGATCTTGAGCCCGTCCAGACCTTTGAGGATATGCTTCACCTCGCGTGTCGTGAACCCGCCGATCTCGGGTCTGGAAGCACCGTGAGCCATAAACCAGGATATAAGCAGCGTGTGCAATCATGAGACTCACGTTCCAGTAGCAGGCGCCATACCAGGGTCGATCACGTCGATGTCGAAGGTGACTGTTCTCCCTCAGTACCACGGCACAGCAGAAAACAACCCCCAGCCTGGCGGCCTGGCAGCCGACGTACTGTACACAGGGTTCTCCCCTACAACCTCTCTGATACGCTTGACGATCCCCCTCCATCCTACTTCCTCGATATCGTCCGCATGACTAATGACGAACCCGACCTCGTAGTCGTTCTCGTAGTCCTTCCATGACTGGAGTGCGTTCCTGATGCCGACGTGCTGCTGGTGTATCAGAAATGCTACGGCTGAGGGAGGGAATGGGGGGACACACGATATTGGCGTTGTTGGGCGCTAGGAGGCCTTCTTGTGCCGCGTACCAGAAGTAGGAGCCGTGGTTCACCGGTACCTCCTCCCCAGGGAGCCACGGGCCCGGCTGCCAGTGCTCAGCTCCAGCAAGCTCCAAACCCTCCGAACTTCAGACAAGACTCACGTACGCTCCCGGTCTCCATGTATCTGATTTATACGGCCCATGTTTAGAATCTTCGATCAGTGAGTTACCCACTTCAATCAAGCAATGGCTCACCAATATGGCTATCGAAATGGATCACACTAACGGGTCCGTACACCTTGGCCACTCCTCGCAGGAGGGGAAGGGTGATCGTATGATCTCCCCCGAGAGTGAGGACCCGAGGGTGGAACTTGCCATCTTTGGCGAGGGAGGTGCCGTTGTAGCTGCTGGCAGAGAGGCGGGAGACGAGGTCCGCATTAGCGATCTCCAGCTGCCGGAGAGCGACTTTGTTGTCCATCGGCGTCATCGCTGTCCCATATACGTGTGTGAGCAGCTTGGGCTGGTGACAGGAAAGGAGGACGTACGGACATCCCCGCAGTCGACGACGTATAGATAGTCCGTCACTCGTGTTTTGTAGGGTACGTTAATAGTAGACAGGTGCAGACGCCTCGACCCCTGCCTAATCCCGTTGGGGCCAAACCGTGCTCCAGGGCGATAAGAAGTAGTGGTATCGAACGGTGCCCCTAAGCAGTTCAGCACCAGCATAAGAAGGAAGAGTACGTAGATGTACGTACCGAGGATAGCGACATCGAAGAGCTTGTCTTTGTCCTTCCCGAAACAGCGCTGCGGGTCAGCAGAGGCGAATGTCATGACGTTCCAGCTGTCGTCTGCGAAGACGCTGCCAGACTGAGAACCGACAGTGGGAGCAGAGAATAGGGAGGAGTAGTCCACTGCTACTGGGCCTGGTCCGGGCTGCTCGGGCTGCAAAGGTGCCTGCGCTGCTGCTGCTAGCGTGAGGAGGGCAGCGATAGGGAGGAGGGAGCGGAACGGCATTGTGCAAGTCGTCGTTGTCGTCTATTCTAGAGTGTAGACAAGTAGAACAAGAACAAGCAGTGTGCCAGCGTGTACTTCAGTCTTATGTGTTGCCCAGGATGCCCAGTAAGCCGAACGAAGCAAAGCAGGGAATCGCCATGATAAGGGTGAGAGATGGTGACAGTGAGCATGTGGGCTTCGGGCGCTTCCAGAATTTCATTTCACATCTCCTCGGGCAAACTACTTCAGTTTGAGAGTCGAATTGACTAGGGATGATATCTTGATGAGAGGCAACAATCGAGCTTATTATTCTGCAGTTTTTGGCAAATTACTTCGAACTCGAGATAGGACAGAATTCCACCATGCTCTTCTTTTCCGGTTGAGGTGCAACAGGCACATCTATAACGAACTCCTTGGGTTCACCCTCAGGCTCCAAACCTCTCCGTTTTCGTCTCCAACCCCTCCAGCCTTTCACAGCGCTCAACACGCTGCCTTCCACTAATCGTACGATTCGCACGCCCGCACTTTCTTCTTCCCACACTTGGGTTGTCCATATGCTGAACGACTTGGGAAGGCGAGCTCCGAGGACGATATCTGTTGAAAGGCGGTCACCGATCACGACCAGCCGGGGCGTGGGTACTTTTCGTGGTTGAACAGGTTTGGTATCAGTGCTTACACCCTCTGCGGACGGCGTAGGCGGGCTAACAGGCGGTAAGGGTGGTAGTCCTGAAAAGTAATGAATGATAGACCGCTTGACCCACGGTTTAGGAGCTTCGTGCAGCATCACCGGCACACCGAGGTTGCGTGTCAGCGCTTCCGCCTGTTCTCTGAAGTGTGAGCATGTGCACGCAAAAGAAGGATAAGGCATACCTGGAGGAAGGAAGCATCCTTTGACGTGCCGGCAGAGTTGCTGACTATGAGAACGCGAGATGGGGGAAATGACTCGAGGCAAGATGACCACGCATCCTAAACTACGCCTTAGCGGGCAACTGGGGAAACGGTGCAGTCAACGGACCTTCAAGGACGGCACGAGAACATCTTGTCTTGGTTTCGTCTGTTCTATTTATTAGCACCAATACTTGAGAGCCAGAACATAGACGGACCAAACAGTTATCTCTGTCAATGACAACGCCCTCATACCCCGCCTCTCTCAAATTCGCAAAGTTGATGTTGGCAACAGCTGGAAACAAAAACATCATAAGTACGCTCATGATCGCCTCGCGCTTCCGAAGTGTACACACATTTGACAGCGAGGTTAGGTACTAACACAGAAGGCTTGGTTATGATGCGCAGAGCGGTGAAGACATGGCGGATGATGGGCATGGGTCGAGGAGTAGGACTCCCAGTGGAGATGAGAGGGAACAGGGTAGTCGGAGATTAGATAATTATATCTTTTCTAAAAGCCGATATCCGAATTTCGTACAGGGCTCGCGCCTCCTTTGCCTTCACAAACAACCCAAGAATGTTCACTATCCTCCCTCCGAATGTATCCTCTTCAAATTGGCAACGTGCGGTGGACAAAGACTCGGGGATTAGAGATCAAGATATGGATGGGGGTTATTATGCCCTAGAAGAGGAGGAGATGCTCACATCCCCTGGGGAAGTCATCACTTCCGCAATGGAGTTTATGAGGTGTGTCTCTCTCTTTTTCTTACGATGGTCATGTCAATATGGGATGCAGGGGACATGGTACGTTTGTAGAAGACGGAAGTGTAGTAGCGAGCTTGAGCGGGACGATCGAGAGGGTTAACAAACTGGTCTCGGTGCGGGCGTTACAGACGAGGTATGCGCTTCTCCCAATTCCACATACTTTTCCCTTATAATAAATTCAGGTATCACGGAGAGGTCGGTGATCTGGTTGTGGGGCGAATCACAGAAGTGAGCCGCTGGGTTCACTGCTGGCCCATAGGCACTGATCGCGCATCTCAGGTCCAAGCTGCCAGATGGAAAGTGGACGTCAACAGCCACCAGGATGCAATACTTCGGTTATCATCCGTGAACCTTCCTGGAGGTGTACAAGTACGTAGCATGCCAAATCCATAAACTGACTCTGACCACGGCACAGAGAAGGAAGTTAGAAAGTGACGAGCTAGAGATGCGCAAGTTCTTCGAGGAGGGCGATCTCCTAGTGGCAGAAGTGCAGCCTATGCACGGAGACGGCGTGCTTAGTCTCCACACGCGGTCACTAAAGTACGGCAAAGTACGCTTCATCCATTCTCGCGCAATGCCGAAGTACTCATCTTATTGCAGCTGCGGAACGGCCAGCTGATCAGCGTTTCCCCCGTACTTATCCGTCGCCGGAGCACCCATTTCTGTACCTTGCCCTGCGGGGTAGATCTCATACTGGGCATGAACGGCTATATCTGGATCGCGAAACACGTTGCCGAGAACGAGCGAGAAGGCGAAGAGGGGTTCGACGCCGAAGCAGTGTATTCGAATAAAAATGACGTGGGTTGCTCGGTTCCTGCCGAGGGGAGGAGATGTTGACCGCAGTATTTGTTTTGTAGGATATCGACCTGGAAACCCGGGCTGCCATCTCCCGTGTTAGTAATCTGATCAGCATCTTCGCTCGCCATTCGGTACCGCTCACAGATACGATTCTTGCCAAGGCGTATGATTGGGCCGTGCAGCAGGAGCTGTCTCCAAAAGACTTGCTCAGGACGGAGACTGGGGATAATATGGTGGAGATGGTCACGGCTCTCGCGTGAGTCGGACTGGATGTAGAGGGCTTCTCCGAATGTGGACATCTCTGTGCCTGCAATCTGGTGCCCGGGTTTTACGTCATACTCGGGTTATATTCCCCCGTCTTGATATGTTATCTAGTACGCCCCTCCAATATTGATGTTAGAATATCGTTGCTACTTTAAAAGGAACTCTTCCCAAAGACACAGCCCCTTATTTCTTGGAGTGAAACCGCGCAAGGGTTGCATTGGAAGCTCTAATCCTGGGAGTGGGCATAAACCATACTCTGAGCCATGACTGGATTAATTCGGGCCCACTGTGATGTTTTCTTCTTTTGAGAACGTTCTTCCTCTCAGTCAGCTGCTGGCAGAACGATCTTGCACGATGAGCAGCTGACCAAGCACATAAAAGCTGGAGCAACGTAGTGACCAGCAGCGAGCTCCATCTCTCTTGCTTTGGATACTGGGCACTCGGCAACATGGCTGCTACTATTCTCGAGCTTGCAAAGCTGATCTCAGAATCGACAGTCAAGATCAATGACTTCTGCGTTGCCGCTGGAACTCCGGTTCCGGAGCTCAGCGTTCCGTTCGACTCAGTCTCTGAAGCATGGCGCCAGCAGCCGGGTGTGCAGCTGGCTATCGATACCGCCATTTCTGCTGCCCATCAGCTCATCTCAACTTTGACTCCTGCACCTCTTTCTGTATTGCGCATGGGCGGAGCGGTACTACCTCATGAACAAACTGCGTGACCTTGCTCACATTTGGATAGTATCAATCGGCTGCTACGAGAGTTGCGTTTGAGAGCAATGCTGCTGCCATCATCAAGGAAGGTGGTGAGAAGGTGCGTCTAGTCATTTTTTTCTATAGAATCCATGTAGATGATTTGCTCCAGGGAATGCACGTAAACGACATCGCTATCAAGGCAAAAGTAGACACCAAGAAACTCGTTCGGGTACTCCGCTACCTCGCGTCCATGCATGTCTTCCGTGAGGTTGAACCCGATGTCTTTGTGAACAATCGAATTTCGTCCTGCTTCGACATCGGCAAGCCGTTCGCGGAGATCGCGTCCAAGTGCAGCTCTTCTCCCCTCACACCGAGCACATGCTGATATCATTGTAGCCCCATAGACAAGTACGAAGGCACGCCTGGAATCACGGCTCTGTTCGGACACATGTAAGTTCTCGTCCTACGTACTGGTATGGTGGTACCATATGTCGCAGGCTCGACGAATACAACAAAAGCGCTATGTACGCCTGGGAGGCACTCTCCGATCCAGCGACCTCGTACTCTGAAGAACCCGAAGACGCAGCACTGAGCCGTGCTTTTGGAAAACGTGAGGCGTTCTGGGAATGGATCGAGGAACCGGAACAAGACCATCGGTTAGCCCGGTTCGGCGTTGCGATGCGCGCATGGCAGAATACGTTGCCACCTGAGGCGATGCTTCACGGTACGTTCTGTCCTCTTCATGTTCGTCTCATGTTTGTGAAAGACGTTTCCCCAGGTTTCGACTGGAGGTTGCTAACAGAAAATGATTTGATCGTCGACGTTGCCGGCGGGATTGGCAACGCTGTTCTCCCGATTGCGAAGATTAACCCGGCTGTCAAGATTCTCATCCAAGATCGCCCCGCAGTTATAGAGGATGGCATCAAGTACTGGAAGGAGCAATTCCCTGAGGCCGTCGAGTCCGGCAGGGTGACGTTGCAATGTAAGCACGTCCACACTTGGTTGTGACACGGACTAAAGTATAGCAGCGCGCGACCTCTTCGCCGCCCAACCAGTCAAAACCGCGTCTGTCTTCCTCCTCCGGCGTATACTCCACGACTGGTCGGACAAGTACGCCCGCAAGATCCTGACTACCCTGCGGGAAGCCGCTGCTCCGAGCACAAAGTTGCTTATAATCGACCACATCCTGCATCACGTATGTGCAGATCCGACTCTGAGTGGGCCCGAGCCTGTACCTGGATGGAAGGCGGCGAGGAGGGAGGATGCGCCGCCGCCTTTGCTGCCCAATTGGGGTATTTGTGGGATTGGACAGTATGGGTCTGACCTTCATGTATGTGCCATGTGCAGTTCGTGCCAGTAGGAGATGCTTAACAATTTCGCAGATGATGATCATCCACAATTCACAGGAGCGGACGCTCACCCACCTGAGCCAGCTATTCGAAAGCACCGGCTGGAGAATGGCACGAGTCTACCCAGACCCGACTAACATCATGTCCCAGGTGGAGGCCGTTCCCATCTGAGCCAGCTGCTCTGGCCAGCATGGGGGAACGAGCAAGTGTGAAACGAGTGATGCGCTACTACGGGATACAATCCGTACGACTAGGATGAGATAGTTAATTGATGGATGATATATAACTTTGCTTCAGTTTTCTTGCTTCAAATGATCACCCTTGCCTGACTCATTGCGCACTGGCGGCAGCAGCCTTTTCCCTCCCGTGCACATCATCAATAATGTGCTCTTCAGGCTCTTCCTCATCCACAAGTGTCTCGTTCTCCAACTCAGAATCGGACGTGGCATCATCATCCTCCAGTGTCTTCCCCGTAGCCACCTCCAGCTGGGCAGCCATAAGTGCACGGAACCGTGAATTCTCGCGTGACGCCTGTGCGGAATCAGCATTCCCGCCTGATAGAGCACTCAAAAAGCCTACAAGTTCCCTATACGTCCCGCTCTCACTGATCTTTCCATCCTCTAGCACCACCAGCCTCTCAGCAGTAGTGATGGTCGACAACCGATGGGCAACGACGATCGAGCTCGTATTCTTGCTCGAGATGATCCGTTGGATAGCATCGTTCACTCTGTACTCCGAGACTGCGTCAAGGGCGGCCGTCGCTTCGTCTAGACAGAGGATGGCGGGCTTGCGCAAGAGAGCGCGAGCGATAGCGATTCGCTGACGCTGGCCGCCAGAGAGGCTGTTCTTCCCAACTATACCACCGTTAGCACAATCCACCCTCGCAACGCAGAAAAAGACAAACCAGTGGTATCGAAACCCTTCGGGAACGCCTCTACGAAATCACAGTTGGCCTGCTTGGCCGCAGCCTCAATGTCCTCTCGCGTCGCCTCCTCATCACCGTAGGCGATGTTGCTCGCGATCGTACCCGAGAAGAGAACAGGTTCTTGGGGTACGTATCCTATCGTAGCGCGCCAGGACTCTGGCGTGTAGGTGCGGATGTCGACGCCGTTGAAGGTGATCCGGCCTGAGGTGGGGTCGTAGTACCTCAGGAGCAAGGCCTGAACCGAAGACTTTCCACTGCCAGATTTCCCGCTGATTTCAGCCAGAGACAGATTCAGTACATATTTGAATGGGCGGAGAGGGGACGTACACAAGGGCCACGCTCTCTCCCGTTCGGAGCTCCATATTGAACCCCTTTAACACAGGCACGTCCGGTCTTGCAGGGTATACGAACCCAACGTCCTCGAAACGTATCACACCCCTCAACGCGGGGTGGAAAGGCTCGCCCACGTGAGGATGGACCGCAGGGACCCGGTCAATGAGAGAAAAGACGCGCTCGCCTGCGCCGACGCCACGCATTAGAGAGCTGAAGAAGCCACTGGAGGGCTGTCAGGGGTAGGTAGAGGACCCGAGAGGAAGGACATACGATAAGTTGCTCAGCGCTCCCCCGACATAGGCTGTGTACAGCAGCAAACTCGTCAGTTCTCCTACGCTGATCTCTCCGCGCGCGACAAGGCTTCCTCCATACCCAAGCAGAGTGAGGATGGTCACATTGCCCGAAAAACCTGTGCCGCCGAAGAATAGACCCGAGGCGAGCGCTTCACGCCGAGCGAGGTCGAATACTGCCTGAACTTTGCGCGAGAAGCTGAGCTCTTCCATCGGGTACGCGTTGTGTGCCTGGACGGTACGAATTGCTGATAGTGTCTCCTCTGCTACCTGTACCGCGCACAAAGACATCAACACATTGCTTTCCTCAATTTTGCAGAAGAGAACGTACACGCGACATGTCCCCTAGAGCTTCTTGCGTCTGGTTCGATAACTTTTTCAAATACCTGCCATAGAACACCGCCCCGATCGAGATGGGCGGGACGACAGCGAGCATGACAAGTGTGAGCTTGGAGGAGAGGTATAACATGAGTCCCACTGCGTCTGAGGTCAGCGCTGCCCAAGAAGGACAGACAGTGACTTACAGCCCACGGAAGCGGTGACGATCGCGCGAAGTCCGTCGCTCAGGTTTCCCGTTACGCTACCCACTTTTCAGCACCTTCTCTCATCCAAAGAAGTAGAAGACTGACGACTCGCCAACAATATACGTATCCGCATTAAGGCGGCTGACGATATCCCCAGTTCCTCCTCCCTGTCGCTCAACAAAGTCGACTTCCTGGCGCAAGGCGGAAGCGTACGCCCGATTGCGGATGCGAGCGACGATCCTCTGCCCGGCAGTGCGCATGAGGATCACTCGGCCAGTATTTGCACAGGCTCCGATGGCGAAGAGGCTGAAGAGAAGGAGGGAGGCGGAGGTGAAGGAGAGACCTAGGAAAGTGCTCTACATAGCGGAGTGTTAGCGAAGCCACTTGACTGTTAGACAGGAGAGCGCACATTCGCAGGATTGGAAAAGAAGTCGATCTAGGTTTCAACATATGGCTTCAGTTTATGCAATTACTATTGAAGAATAACGCACCAGTTTCCCAATAGTAAACGGAATGCTCATCGTCACGCTACTACTGACCAACAAGAGACCGACAGCGAACGTGAGCGGCCTTCGCTCTGGGAGAGCGAGTGCGAACAGTTTGCGAAGATTGGAGGCGGAGGATGGGGAGGGTTGGAGGAACTCGGGGAGGAGGCGGGTGAGCAACGAGCGCTTTACTGGGGTCGGGGGTGTAGGGGACGGCGAGGGGGGAGTAGGTGGTACATGAGGTTGTGCAGCAGTAGTGTGTGCGGACGGTGTTGATGTATTTGTACTCTGGAAGCGTCTTGATATACTGAAATAAGAGTGATGGTCATAGGAGAGCGAGCGCAAAATAAAGGTGCTATGAGAACGGTGACCAAGATGAGATGCGCATATTGGCTTTGAGCGGAGGGCGGCGGTGAACAGGCTCATCGGCCACGTTCACCTCTGTTGCCAATTGAGTTGAGCAGACCGTTGTTGACAGTGATAATCACGACTAGCCGTAGCAAAAGGTAGATATATGCGCTCAATGTCGACCAGGACAGCAGGGACAACGACAAGCAGCGAAGTGGACGTCGTCACTAACTGTATGCGCAATGCCGTTCATTGCCCCAAAGACGTCGCGTTTCCTCGGCCCATCGATCACATCACGTCGAGGCCCGATCATTTTTTACTTCCGCTCCCAGGAGTAGAAAAACCCTGCTCCTCCTCCTCTTCCGACTCTCTTCGTGCGGCGACACGGCCATTCTCTTCCCCATGTTGCTCATGCCCTGCCCTACTCCTTTAGAGTAATCAACGCGGGCGTTCGAGTGTCAGGTCGTGCCCTGAGCAGAAGGACGTCTTAGCACCCATATGTCGGTCTCGTGCATGCGAAACCGACGGGTCGGGGGTTCGAACATCTCTTTTTTTCACTCACTTTTTTGTGCTCGGCGTGGGTAGAGGTATGGACGGTGGGCTGGACAGAGCGGAGGTCTGGTATCGGAGCTAGTACACAAGCGAGTACCCTGATAAAACGTACTTCGTATAATTGATGATTCACAAATTTTCTTTTCCTCGTCTGCTCGCCTGCATGTCATGAGCTCGTCATCACAACCTCTGCGCTCCCTGAATACCCCCAAACCTCATCGCATAATGCACCCCCTCTCCCCCGCCTGCTATCATGACTATCAGGTTCGGTCCTGGTCGGGAATAACGACTTGTTCTGCGTTGCGCCTTGGAGGGGGGAAGCGGCCGATGGGTTGGCCGTACGATCGGAGCAGCGTGTACGTCAGGGATAATCCTTTGGACTTATTCTCCGCCGTTGCTCCCTGGTGGGGGGGAGCGGAAGATGGGTTCGACGCTGCCTCCGTATGATCGGAACTTAGGGATAATCCTTTGGACTTGTTCTCCGCCGTTGCTCCCTGGAGGGGGGATGCGGACCTCGGGCTGGACGCTGCCTCCGTACGATATGTGCACAGGGTGCAGGTCAGGCCTGATCTTTCGCACTTGTTCTCCGCCATTGCACCCCGGGGGGGGAATTGGGATTATGGGCTCGTCCCGGATACCACGCTGCACAGGCCCCAGCACAGAGGACACGGGGACGGGGATTGGATGGACTTTGGCTGGTCCCACCCCTCGAAAGGGTTGGAAGGGCGGGTCGATTGGGTCGACTTTGACGGGCCCTACGCCTTGGAAGGGTTCGAATTAGGGATAGATTGGCTCATGGATTGGCTCGATTTGGACTGGTCCCACCCCTCCGAAGCGTTGAAAGGGCGGGTCGATTGCCTCGACTTTGACGGGCCCTACGCCTTGGAAGGGTTCGAATCGGGGATCGATTGGGTCGATTTGGACTGGTCCCACCCCTCCGAAGCGGTGGAGGGGCAAGTCGATTGGGACGACTTTGGCAGGTCCTACGGTCTGGAAAGGAACGAAAGACTGCTCCTTCCCAGAGAAGGACTGTGCACCGTTGTCGTTGTCGTACGGGTCAGTAGACGGTGTCATCCTTTGCTGGTGCAGTTAAGAACGTCTGACGGGTCGAACAGGCACCTATTTGCCTCTGCCCAGTCGAGGAGCTATATGCCTTCCGCGCCAACGTGGTAATGGTTTGCGGCGTGCCAGCTGGCCCTTCTGTCATAAGAGACCACGGTGTTTCGATATCGCCGTACGGGGTGAAGGCGTTGTGCCCTCCGAACGCCTCTGTGTTCAGCTACTGACAGTTCTAGCCCATGGCAGTGTCATACCGGCAGAATCGTAATCATTCAATAACTCATACTCATAATTGATCAAATTCACATTTTGCCTTCTATATCATGTCTGCAATCCTCAAGCATCCCCCATGACAACCCCCTCCTCAACCCTCACGCTCTGCAAGATCCTCAGCGCCTCATGCGCAGCTTTCACACCACTCGCCATCATAGCACCGAAAGTAGGTCCCATGCGGTTTGACCCGTCATGTTCCGAGAGCTCCATACCTGTCATGATCAGTCCGGGCTGGACCTCGCGCGTCCCACTACACACGTCAGCTGTGCCTATGCGAAAGAGCCAGTAACGTACTTGACAATCACAGGCTCGGCGCGCATCATATCCAAGCAGCGCATATCTCCCAGCTTCTCGATCATCCCGTTGCTCACCAGCCTCTTAGCGCAGAACGCGCCCATAGGTCCATCGTGTCCCGTCGCGCTGATGATCACAGGAGCAGTGATCGTGTTCGGGTCCATGCAGCTCTGGCTATCATGGTGCAGGCTAACGAGCGTCCAGTTGGTCACCACGCCTCCGACGCGCTGCCGGCCCGTATGGTCGGGGCGGACGATGAGGTCCTCTACGGCGGTGGCGTTGAACAGGCGCACGTTGGCGAAAGCGAGCACCTTGCTGAGCAGCGTGCTCGTGAACTGCGCCGCGTGGCGTACGACGACGAAACCGCCTTCATCCTCGAAGGGTACACCGATCTCTTGCAGGAACTCGTGCGCCGGCTTGCGCACAACCATCGCGCTCATCAGCTGCCCCCCCAGCCACGCCCCACCCCCCGGGGCAACATTCGCCTCAACGATGGTGATCTTCTTCTCGGGCGCATTCTTAGCGAGGTAGTATGCGCAAGACAGGCCCGCACTGCCAGCACCGACGATGACGACGTCGGAGATGGCGCGGTCGTACATGTCGGCGAAGTACCGCTTGGTCATCGCACGCGAGACTTGGGCTTCGCTGATAGGCGCGAAACGGTAGTTGCCGGTGTAGTCGACATGCCCTTCGTCTGTTGTAGCCTGGTCCACGCGCTGGACAGACCCGGGCACGAAGGGTTTGAGCCCTGGAGAGACAAGATCCTTAGGCGTGTGTGTCCCGAAGAACGAGACAGAGCCGCTTCCATTGTCGTTGATCGCGACCGGGGGAGTCATCTTGTGCTAGCGAAGGCGATGGAGGTCGAACGGGATGGACGGGTCACACAGACGCTTATCTGCACGTTCATACCCTGGTAGAAGGTCTATATACCCCCTGGTGCTCCAAAGCGGCAATACGTTCCGGCACGCGAACCGTCAGCTGGAGTAAATGAAGAACGCGGGATGCCCTTTTCCGTCGGCAAGACGTCACTGGATTGGACAACGGCATCACGAGGCATTGGGGAAACGTCTTCTTGAGATTGTCTGGCTTGAACCGCCTCGCGTTGGGGAGTTCGATCGGCAAGACTCGCTCCACCGAAAGAAGCTCTGTTAGCTACAAGCACCAGCAAAAGCCTCTCCTAACCCGACCAATAGCACAATCGCGAACTTGCTCCAGCCATACTAGTGAGAAGACGAAGACGATAGGATCCGTATATCGTCTAAGCAAGCCCATGAATCGAAGTTATCCAGAATAAGCTTGCCCAGCGCTGACTTGCCAAACTGAGATAGGACTCCGGCTGCCCAACCCGCCGGCATGACCGAATGATCCCCAAAAAGTATATCAAGAGGATGAATCAGCGTCGGCGAGTGCCTGGAGCAGGCGGGTCGGCGATGCCAGACTGATGCAGATGCGATAGAAGCAGAAAAGCGGAATGTTTCACCCACGAGGGATGCTGACCTCCGACGATCGGTTGTCGGTCTGGCCACAAGATGCAGAAGACAACCTGTAGGAGGGGAGAGAAAAGCTAACAAGTTGGAAACAAGTTGGAAGTGGAACATGAACCAGCAACGCTTGAAGGTTAAATCCCTTCGGCTCCGCTGTCCCAGGGCAGCGTGGCTGACAAGGGGAATAGTTGGCTTAGTAAGGCCCTATCCCATGTCCTTCTTCACGTGCGCAATTCAGTTGCTTGAGTTGCAGAAGTCCTCCCGATTTCCCGCTTTTGGAGACGAGCGGTACAGATGATGAGTAGTGAGTATATGTTATTTAATGAGGCAATTTCGTGTTTGTTCTGTGGGAAGGGGAGGGTTGCTTATGTGATCAAGGTTCGGTAACTTCCTCGGCATGAGTATCACGTGATGAGCCTCGTCATAAGCGGCGCCGTAACATCAAACAAATGATCAATGATGATGTGTTCACCTCCCTGAACATTCCTCTTGCCTCCTGGTTCTTGCAAGGGAGATGCTGCACCGCATACATCCATCACCTCTTCCATCCGAACAACCACCACAACTTCAATGACCACTCTCAACACCACCGTCGCTCTCCGTATTGGACCGCTCCTACTTGATACCCTCTTCAAACATTACTTGGAGCGAAAGACTGTCACCAAGGACTCGAAGGCACGCGAAGAGCTCTTGTACGATGCAGCGTTCACCACTTTCAGGGCGTTTATGGAGGCTGCAACCAAGTGAGCCCTGTCATATTGATTAGCGAGAAATGTACATAATTGCTGACTAAATTTAGGCATTCAGTCGAGGAACTCCAGCAGTTCTCTAACGTCCGCTTCCCTGCTCCTCCATGGGTACATCTCGTGCGCCTCCGTATCCCCCTCTCGTCATGCAACCAAGCCGCCCAGTATCTTATCACCGCCTTTGGGGGAGAGGAGAAGATGCGCACCTTTGTTGGTGGGGTGAAATGGTGGCAAGCACGCGGGCTGGAGGGGATAGATGCCCAGTGGGTGTGTAGTAAGAAAGACCTGGAGAGGGAAGAGAAAGCGCTCAGAGAGAGAAAGAGGGAGGCGACACTTGGTATCAGAAGTCCAACGCTGGGGCCAAATGGTGCGAGCGGGACTGGGGTCGGACAAAAAGACGCCGAGAAGACCGGGAGTGGAAGTGGGACCTTGCCAGGTGAGACGGGTGAGGAGGCGGTCTACTCCAGTGGGATGGATAGTATGCGCTGTCTGCTTTATCTGCATGGTGGAGGATACTATTTTGTAAGTCTCCCACTTGCGTAGTAAAGATAGTTGCTGATTATCATGGTAGGGATCGGTCGACCAGGAGAGATATACCATGCAGCGTTATGCACGGAAGATGAAAGGTCGCTGCTTCGCGGTGGACTACCGGTTAGCGCCCCAATATCCCTTCCCCTGTGCATTACAAGACTGCATCGCTGCCTGTACGTCGTCTATTTCCCTCCTTTCTTCCCATCTAACACGTTCCAGATCTATACCTCATCCGTCCTCCACCTGGTGCATCGCACGCCCCTATCCCCCCAAATCGTATAATCATGGGTGGCGATTCGGCCGGCGGAGGTCTAGTCCTTGGCCTCCTCCAAATCTTGCGGGACACCGGCCTCCCCCTCCCAGGCGGGGCAGTGCTCATCTCCCCCTGGTGCGACCTTACCCACTCCTTCCCCAGCGTCTTCCAGAATACGGCGACGGACATCGTACCCAGCTACGGGCTGAGCATTCACAAGCCCAGCACGCTCTGGCCTCCTCCGCCAGAAGATCTTTCGTCCAGCGTGCGGACCCGAATCAGGGAGCGGATACTCGAGATCGTCCGTCCTCCCCGTTCTGCGAGCCCGGACCACACCCATTTCACTCAAAATGAGGAAGGCGTCGTCCCGCCACATCGAACGCGCCGGCATTCCCATAGCTCGCAAAAGAGCGCACACTCCCATATTTCCCGCAAGTCACAGGAAACCCTCACGGTGAGGGGGGACACACGCCTGCCCCCGCACTATCACGAAGACCCCGAAGCTGGGAGCGCGCTTCACCCACACGACCCGCTCCCTGCCCATATTCCTACTCCAGGACCAGAAGAACCGGCAGGCAAGCCCCTCTCCTCGTGGGACCCTACCCAGCCAGGCCCGATCACCCTCACCGTCGATGGCAGGGAAGCGACGATCCGCAGCCAGGTGCAGCTGTATTGTACGAACCATCAGCTGACGCATCCGCTTGTGTCGCCTTGTCTTGGGTATTTGGGAGGGCTGTGCCCGTTGTTGGTTATTGCGAGCGATAAGGAAGTGCTGAGGGATGAGATCATCTACATGTGGGTATCGAGTTCCTCTGTCTTCATTACCGTTCTGTTCTTTTTCCGCTGTCGGGCAATTCAGCTGATACAAGAGCAGCGCACACAAAGCCGCGCGACCTGATCAATACCCTCTCAAAGACCAGACACGCAAGCTGTATCCCCACCTTGAGGGGATCGAAAAACGCTACGGGCCCACGCCTGTACATCTCCAGGTGTACGACGAGACGAGCCACGTCTTACCCCTCATCTCGTTCTCCACGCCAGCGAAGTACTGCTATCGTGCGGTACGTACTCGCCAGAGATCTTCAGGGCCATGCTGATGAGAGCCACAGATCGCCGCTTTCTGCGTCCATGTCACCCCCGGAGGAGTGCCATCCCCCACGAGCCCCTTCCCAGAACCCAGCGAACTGAACAGCGCCACCTACCCACCACGGTCTGCAACGCTTGACGGCCTTCCGGAGAAGCAGAAGAAGCGCGCAGATATGCATATTGATGTTGATGGACTGCCCTGGATCCTGCCTGAGTCGCCCCTCGCTAGCACCCCTGAGGAGGAAGAGGAAACATGGCTCGCCGAGAGGAGCGGGGAGAAGGACAAAGAGGAGAAGGACGATACATGGCTGCTTGTCAACTCCCCTGATGCGGAGACGAGGAAGGAGACAGAACTCCTGCTACAGTCACCTGAGACAGAGGCGGGGTCATCCAGGGATACTACTATGGGCTTGCCGCATCCTCTCAGCCCTTTGGAGATGAAACCCGGCAATTTGACCGATATCACCTCCGGTAAGGACAGTGAAGCGTCTGCTGATCCACCGACCGAAGATCGACCAGAAGCTGATCTGTCGGAAGTTTCAAACTCTCAATCGATCCCATCAGCATCGACTGACCCTCCGGCAATCGAAATGCCTGCCCCTGACGATCCGCTGCCTCCTGTACTCCCAGCCTCTACCAGTGCTCCTGAGCATCGCAAGACCCATTTCCCGAAGTTAATGCTGCACGATTCGTCCAAAGCTAGAGAAAGCGGGCGAGCCTTCACGTTCCCTGCCCATTTGCTGCGTTCTATGTCCTCTGCCCCCGACAAACATAAGACACAGTCTGATTTGAAGCATGAAGACGGACATACGGATGGAAGAGCGCACCTGGTGATGAAACATGAGTCAAAACAAGCCAGCGAAGATGTAGCCGGGCCGAGATTCGGTGCGGTTCCTGATGATTCGCTGGGGAGGAAGGCCGGAGATGCATCAGTGTATCAAATGGTGAGCCAGTCATTTCCGGGGAGAGGTCGAAGTCTAATGGTCTCCCAGAAGGACCTTATTGTCGACAACATGATCCGAGAACGTGTATCTCGCACCGGTACCATCCGCCCCCTGGAACCTCCTTCGGAACTTCCGGCGTGCGAAATTGCTCTCGCTGATATCGGCGTCATCAAAGAGAACGCAGCAAAGCGTTATCTACACGGTCAAGCGTTATGGGACAAGAAGTTTGCCTCTACCGTTCGCTCGGTAGAGAAGAACAGAATCAAGCATCTGAAACGAGCAGGAAAGGATGCGGATCGCCGAGCATCTTTGTACGTTACGGGTAAGGTAAATCATCGGACGCTGAACGACGAAGACCCGACTTGGGGCTGGGGCTGGGCGGTCGATGGAGAGGACCCTCCACCGAGTAGCATCGTCGCACGCCGGGATACGCATGAGGCCAGACACCTGGCTCGTATCGCTGATAAGTCGTGGCAGGAAGACGCTGAAGACGATAAGTGGGCTGGGAACAGACTCTGGACGCAACTCGCGGATTGGCTCACTGGACCAGGCGACACGGACAACGATAACCCGTTTGCAGAGGCCAACAGCAATAAAGCACTGGACAGCTTGCGCAAGCGAGAGACCCTCCCGTCGAGCACCGGACAGGAACAACAACCCAATGGTCAGCCCACAGTGATTTTTCCCGACAAAACAGGTTCTGCTGCGCCTGGGCATTCTGTACCTGATGGTGTTTCCCCCAAGTCGCACACGCACAAGTCTACGCTCAATCCGTTTTCGAAGTTTCATGGTTCAGATACTCAGCCCGCCAATTCCCAGGAGCGAAAACCTACTCTCAATATATTCCGTCATCTCCAAAGAAAGGGACAAGCGGTCGATGATCAAGTTCCCAACTAACCAATTCTTGACTTCGTACACTGTGCTCCTTTCTGCTGTAGCCTTAGACGTTTGTATTCACCTCGAATCTCAGTCTTATTATCTAGACACCACGATGTTACGCACTACTCGCTAGATCGCTGGACTAAGTCCTTCCCAATTCACGACCCAAGACCCATCCTGAGGGAATCCTCGGGCGGAGACGTTCGGCGCGCCATCCCATCCGGCGGCCATGAATGCTATCGCATACAGGAAGCCGCCTGCACCTGGCCAATACGGCGTAGGGACCTTCACACCACCGGTTGGCATCCCAGCATCATCGAATGTTAAGAGCTCATCCAACAGCCAGTCAACCGCTTTGCTTGGGTTACCAAGTCGAGCAGCATTCATAGCGAGCATCGGGAAGTCCCAACCCCAGCAATCCGTGATATTCCATTCTGCCCAGACTGTGTCGGTCGTCTGCTGCATGATCGTCATGTCCACTTTAGGAGAGGGCGGCATCTACCCATACAGACCGACCAGCTCTGGGTGATCCATCTTGTACTCTTGGACAGACCACATGTCGCCAATGCCCTCATAGATGACATAAGTTCCATTGTATTGGGGAAGTGGAGCAAGATTGTCGGCGACATGTCCCCAGGAGTCTGGCGGCGTCTGGCCCTGACGCATCAGCCATGTGCGCGCCGCCTCGAAACCCCAGTGCCAGTATACCAGCTCGAAAGCGGTGTTCATGGTCGAATTCAGCGGGGTGTTCTCCGATACCGGATAGAGCGGCGGACCAAGATCGTACACGCCTGTGCTGGTATTCCACCACGAATAGTCGGCCATGAAATCTGCCGTGCTAGTTACATTCGCATTCCACTTCTGGAGGGTTTCGTTTGTCAGATGTGCACGATAATCCAGCTCGGCAAAGAAGATGGGGTGACTCTGCTGTCATATAAGGAGCGTGTTGATCTCCCCAGGAGAGGAGCGCCCGCTCGGGTCGGTCCTCTTCGGCCAACGTGCCCCGTTCGGGTTTGGATAACCGTTCTGGATGTGGGCGCGCTGGATCGAAGTAGGCAGGAACCGAGCGTAAGTTGGGAGTGCGCGGTTGAGGATGTCCCATTTGCCCCAAAGCGCCCAATGCGACATGTGCCAGAAGAACATCTCCATATGGAACTTACCGTACCAGCCATTGTTTGTCAAGCCAGACTTTGACGCGTCGGCAATGAATCCTATCCGTTGTCTGACTCACGAACCTCTTGTGGTGGATTCTTTCCAGCTTCGTTAACCATGAGATTATACTGGCTCACGATGATCCTTCTCTGCATCTCCCAAGCCCTCGGGTCGCTGCTCCCAGTAATGACATCAACGAAACCATTCATACTCCAAAACTGGTGCCACCATCGTGAGCTCTCCGCCATGACTGTCTTCGCGTCGAGTGCTTGGCGAACTGGCTGTGGGGTGAATGTGACACTAAATTCGATCTTGTTTCCTTTGGTTGATGGCCAGACAGAATATCGATGAGCTTCGGGCGAGTCACGGGAAACAGAGACATTTGTCTTGCCAGGCCATGTGAGAGTGGTGAAGTAGCTTGCGCCATCAAGCGTGTGGTTGATGGTAGCAATGTTCTTGCCCTGAGAGAGAGAGGTCGTGTGGTTGGATGTAGCATTCCATATACCCACTAGCGGTGCTTCAAACTTGCTGAGTCCATTATGGTACGGAAAATCAAGGAAGATACCATGTTCTCCTTGTCCGATCAGATCCGAAGTGATGATGATGCCGACCGTGTCGTCCGACGGATGTACACTGGTCTGCACTTCAATCTCAGCCTCGTGATAAGTCATCGTGCTCTTCATAGCACCTGACCACAGATCGATCTCCTGCCTCTTCCCATCCAGGTCGTCTTCGGTCACTCCCGCGCCCTTCCAGAGCAGCCCGACCGCACCTAAGTTCATCCGATTGGGATTGGCGATCATCCATTGGCTGAGGGCGGGCAAGTTCGGGTCTGGCATATCGTATGCCACTTCTCTCCCGTGTGTCGTCCAGTTCACCCCGTGGTATTCCGAAGGGATTTGACCAGGAGGAAGCGAGTCGTTCTTCCATCCCCAAGAGGACATGATCGCGTACGGGATGAAGGTTTGCAAGCCGGTGACATCGGTACCGAAGGCGAAGTTGCCGTTGCCTACTTGCATCGGCGTGACAAGGTTGGAAGCATTGCGTACGGGGTTGAACTGGCGAACTATGGCTTTCCGATCGATGACACTCCGTGAGAAAAAGAGCAACCAATGCGAGAAGAGACGACCAGACCATTGGCGTTGATCGAAACCTCAGGTACGCAGTGCGAAGACAATTGGAAGCCATGGAGGGCTTAAGTATCCCCCCAAGGCTTGCATGCAGCTGCCTTTCTTGGTCCTCCCCGCATAGAATAGAGCGCAACGGACCGAGCTCGGACCGTTTCTCAGGAACGTCCAGAGAGCACAGTATGTTCAGAGTAGCTCAAGCAGACGGTGTTGCTAAAGTTAAACAGGTATGTGCTGTAAAGATGCACCGAGCCTTCGTTGCCCCATTTGCTGGTTGAATGCAGAAGCACACAACGGAAGTTGACCAGGTGGGGAAAAGCTGGGGAAACGCGGGCGCTGATGACGCGTTTCAATTGAAGGCACGTGATTGAGAGCACCCGAAGCACGGAGTTGCGGAGAAATGGAAGTGGAACCGCATTGCCAAAGGAAGCGTGCACGGACAACCAGCAGGAGAGGCTGGAAGAATAAAAGGACATCCCGGTGAGGACCAGCATCTGAAGATGCCCGTGTCTCAGCTCCACGTGGTGCGCCTTCCGGTCAAGTCATGTTCATTCCCGACTGACGAACCTTGACCTGACCTCATAGTTCTCCAGCGCCAGCGTAACATACGTATACGCTCTGTGAGAACGTCACCGAGCCGAAGGACGGGCATCAACCCAGTCACTCAAGACGTTCAAGCCATGTGCAAATTTGGACACCGCATCCGGAGCTAATGAACGAGCGTTCCGGACTTTTCTGGATATTGTGCGTTCGCTCCCTCTAGGGTGTCGTGATACTCATCGGTCCATCTGCATATTTCGACCGACGCAGGGCAGTTTCATTCAAGTGGATCGTACCATCTGGTTTGATTTCTGATGGGTTGTGTGAGAGCACGCTTCTCGGAGGCTGGCGCCTGCGCCCAACCGTATCGCTCACCAATACCAGGTGTTACCAAGTATTCCAGGATAACGGACTGTCCATCTTTCAAGTCAACGCTCTAGAGTGTCGTAAACCAGCACACTTTGACAGCGAAAGACACCTCCATTCGAGCGAATTGACGCCCTACGCTCAAGTTTCTGATGTCTTGGTCTGCGTGAGAACGCGTTTCTCAGAGAGGGAAGCTCTGCCGGAACCGTCCTCGCCGATGTGCGGTCTACAAGTCTAGACCTTTTACAACAACGCCCTATCAATCACTCGAGCCAACGGACATCTGTTGCTCAACATGACCAGTCTACACTCTCAAGGATACTGTACGGCGACTATCTTCCGGACACTCGGTGCCCATTGGCCTCTGCATGGGTCGAAGTCAGCTCACGAAGCCCGATGACGTCCTCAATCAGCAGTCAACATCCCGCCCGAACTCGGTCATCTCATCAGAGCCCCTCTCCCAAAAGCGTGGGATCTCATTTCCCCACGCCCAATCTCCCAGATATCTATAAATTCGCTCTCAAAAGACCGTTGCCAACCGTACATCCGACCAGTCAGCACCTGCAAGCATGGCAGGTACAGCGCTAGACCTCGCGAGGCTTATATCCGAGTCGGTGCAGACGATCGACAGAGCGTGCAAGGAACATGACACGTCGATCCCCGATCTGGACAAACCGTTCGACCCGAGCGCAGAGGCGTTTTGCGCGCTGCCAGGTGTGGGAAAGGCACTGAACACCGCGGTCGCCGCTGCGGACCAGCTTGTAGCTACGCTCCGCTTGGCCCCCTTATCGGCGCTGTTGTATTCCGGCGGGGTGAGTAGGGCGTGTTCTTCCATGGGGCGTGTTCTTCTATGGGGAGGTGCTGACGATGCAGGAAGTTTGTCAATTCTGCAAGCTTGAGAGTCGCTTTTGAGGGAAATGTCGCTTCGATCCTGACCGACGCTGGTGCGGAGGTACGATTTCCCTTCCTCCGGGAGTTGGAGTGGGCGGGTGTTGATCGAGGATAGGGGATGCACGTGGATGATATTGCTGCCAAAGCGGGGGTGGACGCGCCCAAGCTTGTGCGATACCTGAGGTTCCTAGCGACGTTCCATATCTTTAGAGAGGTCCGGCCGGACGTGTTTGCGAACAACCGGATCTCCTCTGTGCTAGAGCTTGGCAAGCCGCTCGCGGAGATCCGAGCCAAGTAAGTGAACCTTTTCTCGGCTGAGTTTGGTTCTTATATTCCCATCCCAGCCCGGTGAACAAATACGAAGGTACGACAGGCATACAAGCCTTCCTCGGGCACGTCCTGGACGAAGGGCACAAATCCTCGTCCTGTACCTGGGAAACGCTCTCCGATCCCCGCACCGCCTGCTCCGGAGCGCCAGAACACGCCGCCTTCAGCAAGTGGGTCGGCAGGGAGCTGTCGTATTGGGACTGGCTGGAATTGCCGGAAAGGAGGAAGGAGATGGCTAGGTTTGGAGTGGCGATGCGTGCTCTGCAGGGGAGTGTGGTGCCTGATGCGATCTTTCATGGTATGTACGCCCTTCAGCCGAATATCGAGTCTGACAAACGAACTAGGATTCGACTTCAACTCCCTGACTGAGAAAGACCTGATCGTCGACGTCGGAGGCGGGATCGGGAACGCCATGCTCCTCATCGCGAGGTCCAACCCGGACGTGAGGATCGTATTACAAGACCGGGCTGCAGTGATCGATGACGCGCGAGAGCACTGGGAACGGGAGTTTCCAGAAGCGCTAAAATCTGGCCGTGTGGTACTTCAAGGTCCGTGCATCTACGTGTCGTGAGTTGCAAGTATTGAGCTAACTGGGACTCCTCCGAAATCACACGATTTCTTCCTCCCCCAACCTGTGAAGGAGGCTTCTGTATTCCTCCTCAGGTGGATACTTCATGATTGGTCAACAGACTACGTCCACCGGATCCTGGCCAACTTGCGTGCCGCAAGCGGGGAAAAGACGAGACTGATAGTGATAGACGCGTTGTTGCCGTATGCGTGTCGTGTGCCTGAGGGGGGCGTGCCTAGTTGGGAGCAGGAGGGGGTGGGGGAGGGAATGACAGAGGCAGAGGCACCAGAACCGCTACTAGCGAACTGGGGCATCGTACGCGCTCATAGTTATCTCGGAGACCTGCATGTGCGTCCCCCTCCCCCTCCCTTCATCCCTCCCTCCAGCAGAGCTCCTGAGTGACTAACTGACGTGGGTAGATGAACTCGCTATTAAACGCTCAGGAACGGACGTTCCCTGATCTTTGTAAAGTGCTGGAAGGAGCTGGGTGGAGGATCGAGAGGGTGTTTCCTGATAGGACGTATTTTTATCCTCAGGTTGTTGCTGTTCCTATCTGAAGTGGAAAGAAGTACACATAGAGTAGAATAGTGTTGGTTAGAGTGTTTCATAAGATGTGGTAATATATCGGAGCCGAATGACTTGTTATATCTCCGTGTCCCTTTCGACGATTTATTCAAAGTGAAATCATTCTCTGTCAAGGTCAACATACCTCACTCAGTACAACGATGAACTCTTATCCCTCTGAGCTGTTACTTCAGCTTGCACCGCTCATGTTCGTAGCAGGATTAGAGGCATTCCCTCATCCACACCATCACCAATCTTCATCTACTCATACTCCTGATGCTCAAGTGAACGGCGACCCCACTGCTACTCCTGCTCCTACTGGTGTACAGGATGACACAGAAGCAGAGTTTACACTTCTTGCTCATAGACTGAGGAAGACTCTGGGCGCACATAGGAAGCCTACAATATGGGATCCTGACAGAGGGAAAGAGTTCGACGTTCTCTCAGTAGACAAGGTGCGCCTTCCATCTACCAGCATAACATCCTCAGCACACCCGGAAAGCTAACCATCAACATCACGGCAGAACGTCCGTTTCCCACCACGAAAGATCCTCCCTTCCCCGACATCACCAGACCAGCCCGCGCACTCCCCTCTCTCCCCGCTCACTCCTACGTCCCCACTCTATCCAGACGGGCTCATCGCCCCCATTTGGCTGAGGAAGCATACGACGCTCGTTCCCTCCGTCTTTGTCCTTTTCCTGCGATTACCCGGGGCGCTCAGCACGGGGGCGGAGGAAGAGCTGAAAGAGAGAGACGCCGAGTTGGCACGGGAGATCGCGGATAGGAAACGGACTACCGCAGAAAGAGGTGTGAAGCTTACAGTCGTCCTCCTCGCCACGCGGGCGATGCTCGGTCCGCCCCTTCCCTCTTCCCTGGGGTAACGCAGCTAACAGTTTGAAACAGAAGACAAATCCCTCGACTTACGGCTCAGTGCTCTCCGCCGCTCTGCTTCCCTAGACTCTAGGGCAGCGTTGTTCGTCCTCTCCCCTGTCCACCCTTCAGAGTTGCAGGAATTTGTCGCCTCCCTCCGGAACGCGCTGCACCCTGTAGGACAGGCGTACTACGCAAACCATTCAAAGAGCACGAGGAGGAAGAGGTCGAGGCCGCATCCGGGAGGGGTGGGAGTTGGAGGGCCTGGGGCTGGGGGTGCGGGTGCGGGTGGGGGGACGGGTGGGGGTGCGGGTGGGGGTGGGGGGAGACCGTTGAGGCCTGAAGGGTGGGCGGTGAGGTATGAGTATAAGATGGGAGTGTGGGCTGAGTTTAGGGGCGAGTGGGAGTTGGCTAGGAAGTGAGTGCTCCCTTCTCCCTTTCCCCAGTGCCTGAGCCCGGGCTGGACTGGGTCGGGCGGGCATATATCGAACGGCCTGAAGCTGACCAAATGTAGGCACTTTGAAGACTGCTGGTCGGCGCTATTGGACATGTTTAGTTCTACTGCTATCCTTCCCCCTAGGACAAAACGGTGGGCCGAAGCCAAAGTGCTAGCCGATACCGTGTCGTTCAAGGTACGCCCCTCCCTCCTTCCCTGCTTCCCTTCCCTTCCCTCCCTCTGTATACGCTTTCAATACTCACGCATCACCTCCCATCCCGCAGATCGTCAAATTCCACCTCTACCAATCAACGCCACACGCCGCCGTGCGCCAATTTCGCGCCCACCTCTCCCGGTTCACCGAGCTCTCCCGCGGGTGGGGGATGGGGGAGGAGACGTCCGACTTCTGGGGCTGGGCAGCACGTCAATACCGGCTCTTTTCCGAATTGCTCGAAGCCGGGCTCGGGAGCCCCGTTCCCTTGCACTTACCCTCCCTTGCACCTCTTTCCCCAGGGCAGCAGTACCCCCCCGTACAAGGACAGGGACAGGGACAGGGACTCCCCCTCCCTCCCCCTGGGCAGAACCCGGCCGACGCACTAGTAGGACCAGGGTACTGGTACCTCTGCGCAGCGGAATGCACGCGCGAGCGCCGAGCGCGCTACCTCTCGCTCCTACAGCTGCAGCTCCATTTGCCGGAAGGCGCCGGCCCCGGGGCGGGGGCGGGGAACGAAGCGAAAGTGGACTATCAGGCGGTGATACGGGAGATGTACACTAAGGCTTATGAGCTGTTCAAGAGGCGTGGACAGCCCGGTGTTGGGGCTGGGGGTGCGGCTGGGAATGGGAACGCGGTCGGGAGTGGGAATGGGAATGGGAATGGGACGGGGGAACTAACAAGACTCCCGTTTTATGTTGCTTTTCGCGTTGCGGAAGCCTACTTTGATGCGGGGGAATGGGATACTGCTGTCCGGTACGTTCCCCCCCCCCAACCGGTTGTCAAACAAGAACTAACCAGGCCCAGGTTCTTCGAACGCACCGCCAAACTGTACAGGCGCGAACACTGGACTTCCCTCCTACTCCCCATCCTGCGCATGTGGCACGCATGTACGAAACACCTGACGGACATGGGCGCTGTCGTTAGGCTCTGTTTGGAGCTGATGGCTGCTGGGGAAGAAGGGTTGGAGGAGGAGCTCTTGGCTGTGCTTGGGACGACGCAGCCGGAGGGGGAGGTGGTATTAGGGCAGGAGGGAGCGATATGTGCGTCTTACGTCTCGTTTCTAGTTCTGCGGGTAAAGGCTGACGAGGACGTTGGCGCATATCTGGGTACCAGTGACAGCCTCGACTGTCTTTTGGCAAAAAGAGGGCTATACTGGGGATACGGTCGTTTTTCAGGTTCATGTTACCCCTTCTTCCTCGCAGGATCTTTCCCTCCTCCCCATGTCAAGCATAAGTATCGACCTGGGCGAGCTATCGCTGCTCGTCACCCATTCTCCTGAGGGATCGCAGGATCCGGATCCGGACGCGGATGGGGAGCGGCAGGTCGAATGTGTAGATCTGGGGGAGGTGGCTCCCAAGGACGATGACGAGGACGACCACAAGGAGGGGAGGGCGAACTTGCGTTGGAGGAAGGGGGAAGTGAAGGTTTTTCGTGGGAAGTGGACTGCTGCTGTCCCTGGGGAACTTAGGGTGCGTGGTCTTTTCCCTCCCCCCTCCTTCCCTCTGCTCCCTACGCTCGCAACGTATCCCAGCTGACTGACTGCTCCTTGTGCTATGTGGGATAGGTCACCGCCGTCACCCTCTTTATCAACCAGGGGAACTGGAACATTGAGCTTCCTGTCAAGCTCGACCCCCCGGACAGGGGAGTCCCGCGCTGGCTCTTACCTCCCTCTGAAAAGAGTTTCCTCTTGATGTCTGATGAGTCCCACTCTGTTTGCTCGTAAGCCACTCTCCCCTATACAGTGCGTAGCACCGGCGTCTAATGGATGGACAGGATCATCCCCAAACCGCACGAGCTTCACGTCTCGATATCACACCGCGAGCCGGCGTATATCAATGAGCAGTATCCGATTACGATCGAGCTTGCGAACCTGGAGGAGCGGGAGCTGGAAGCTGTGCTTGATGTATTGCTCCAGCCGTCGGAGGATGACGACCGTGCGCTCGCTCGTTTCCTTTCCCCAGCGGGGGTGTTGACATTCTCCTAGGGAATCAGGTTGCTATAGACGAACATGAGTCTTCAGGGTTTATCAAAGCTGTCTCATTTGGCGTCCTTAAAGGAGGAGAAGTGGTCACTAAGATCCTATGGCTGACATCGAGCGGCTCGCTCATGCCTCGCACGCTCGATCTTTCCGTTCAGACAAGGACCGTCCAGCCTGGGGACGAGTCCCCTATCTCGTCCACCAACTCCCATGAAACGCTGCGCACCATCGTCGTCCCCGTCATCCAGCCTGTAGCGTGTACGGTCAGCACGGTCTATCATCGGCAAGCTCCGGCCATTAGGCCACTGTCGGATTCTGACAACTCCGATTCCCGAGATCCGTTCGCCTCCATAGGAGCGAGCTTCTCCGCTACCTTCTCCTGCGTCGGACCCTGGCCGCTTACGATCGAGAATGTTCGGTATGTTCCTGCTGAGCAGCCATCTGACCGGCTGGGGATGGTCGCGTGTTCCCTCGAGTACGAGGAAGAGTGGCCCATCGTCTGGGAGGGCGATTCCGCCTTCCAGGCAGCGCTCGACTTCTCCATCGTCGCGTCCCAAGGGAGTGAATCTGAAGAAGAAAAGGAAATAGATGCCCATGTTCCGGTACCAGGGGGACTAGAGGTCATTTGGTCAAGGTGCATCGCTTTCCTCTTCCCGTGTACACGTCAGCTGACTCGGGAAATTAGACCCCATCCAACTTCTCCGTCTCCAATATCGTGCATCACCCTAATTTCGCTACCACCCCTGCTTGCCCCGGCGCATGCAGTAATCGGCGTTCTGACACCGCCTTACACCGTATACATGCACTCTCCGTTCGCCATGCGGCTTTCGGTCCAAAATTACCACACGACACGGTCAGCTGCTGTCTCTGTCCAAGTCGAACCTTCAGAGGCATTCTCGATTCCCGGACCTCGGAAAACGCGCTTGACCGCTCTCGGTCCTGGCGCCTCTGTAGACGTTCTCTTCCGGGTGTATCCTACCGCACTTGGCATGCAGAAGCTTCCTCCGATAACCATTTTGGAGCAACTCCTGTCCCCTGATCAGCCTGCTGCTGCTGCTGCGGCCAGTGCGCAATCGCCCGTGATTGAATACCGGAGATCATACGAGGAGGAAGAGGAAGACTTTTCCGCGGCAACAGCAGCACCTTTGATGCTGGCCGATCCTTCCGATCCTGACCGTGTTGCGCTGGAGCCATCGGCACAAGGTATTACTGTACTAGTTCTTCCATATTCCCAATCGCAACCATAGATTTGTATTCCTCGATATCCGCAATGATCATACCCTACTATTGGTACAAGAAAGAAGCGTGGGAAGAGTGTGGAACTTGCGAGAACGAACGTTGTACAGAGGAAACGACTCAGACGATTTCGTCCATCGTCATCTGAAGGTACTTGATTTGCTCGCTCACCCACTCCTTGAAGTCGTCCTTGCCGATTATGTCGGTGAACTTTCCGGCGGCCTGGAGACCCGCCGCATGCTTCTTGTCTTGAATCTGGTCATATTTTCCCTGGAAGCGCTCAGACAAGAGCTTCAACCGATATGACGCCCACTATAACAGCATGAGCATGTTTTTGGCAGGAGAATGTGGTCAACATACTTGGTAGTAGATGTCATTGACGTCGGAACAGATACGAATTGTCCTCAGCGTAGAGTCGTCAAGCAGGCTTGAGTCTTTTGCACGGAAACTGGTGACCTGAGCAAAGAAAACCTCGGCATGGGCCCTTGCAGCAGAGTGATGACACAGCCTACCATTGTGACTCGTTCACGAGCATTCCAAGCTCCGCAGGCCATGTGCTACAATTTGATTCAGGAAAGAATCAGTGAACATCACCACTTAATCTTACATTAATGTACTGATAGGCTGTCAGAATAAAGTTTTCCAGGTTTCAGAAAGAAACGTACCTTCCCCTGCATCATGACGGCCCAACCGATTTGGGGCCCGCGGACCCTGTAGATCTTGCCATCCCCGCCTTCAAGGGCCGTGTCACCACCCATCATGGTAGACGCATCCGAAAGCATGACCACGCAGACCCACGCTGCAAGCAAAGTCAGCATTGAGTGTGTGAGTAATGAGACTAATCATACGATAGCTGTCGATATGCCAATGTACCACTTCCTCTGCTTCTGGTGTATCATCATCCGATGAATCATCAGACTCGCTGCGGACCAAAGCCGGCAAAGGTGGTAGAGGGTCGCGGCCAAGGGATTCAAGACCTTCTTTGGCTTGGACGTTGATGTGTCCAAGCTGTTCCAAGTTCAGTGGTAGAGAAAAAAGGGGCATCCACAAGTCACTTACTTCGTACGGCATTATCGGGACGAGGTCCATCCCAGCAGCTTCCGAGCACGCCTTAATCGTGTCCGGATGAGTCCACAGCGCCGCAGTAAAAGGAGCAAAGTCAGGCGCGTAGCCACGAAGTTGGCACTTGGCCAGTGCGTGCTTCATATGAAAGTTCTCCACGATCGGCTTGGCGAAGATCTCCTCGCGGAGTGCCTTAACGCCCTCAAGGCTCATCAGAGGGAAAGGATCAGTGCAGGCGACTGAGGAGAGTGTCTTCAAGTGTCCCAAGCCGATATCGGCCATCGAAAGATGGTGCTTAGGAGCTTCATAGGCAAGATGAACAGCAGGATCGAAGACAGCCATAACACAAAGGAATGAACGCAGGCGTGGTGACTTTGACAGGTGGGCAAGCTAATAATTGCTTGTATGGGTGCTCGCTGTATGCACCGCCCATTAAATAGACTTTCTGAATAACAGGTTGGTATGAAGAGGATGCTGTGAGACAGATGCCTCGCCGAGAGCGCAAATTTGTTTACGTGAGATTGGACTCAGAGAACGCCACATCAGATAGAGGAAGATGCGGTTTGCAAGAGAGAAGCCGCCGGTTCTGCCATCTTGCATAGACTCGAAACGGTAAACAGTGGTCGAGATGTTGAGAGAGTGGTCCAGGAATAAGACGTTCATGGCGCTTCCGGCAGGCCGATCAGTCACATTGACGAGCTCAAAAGGAGGTAGGGTCCGAAATGACATTGAACAGGAGTGCGTCCATACATTCAGCCGGCCGTAGAGTCCGACGCTTCATATCCTTTGTAATGCATTCCCTGAAATAGGGAATTCGCGATGCGAATTCGGAGCGACATTGCGCTAAGACGTCCAATCAAGGATCTGGCCTTTTGAAGAGCACATAGACATAGGGGGAAGACAGTTAATCATTACGTACAAATGTAATAACCAGGCATCCTCGAGGCTGGGCCAATCGAACGGACGGCGGAGAAACATTGATTCTCCCGCCCATCCGGCCGAGGCACCCACCGGCGAACATACATCCCCGTCATTCCGCCGTCCTACCGCACAACATACTCCAACAGGCGATCCATCGAGTTCCACCCCCTGTATGTTGTCTCAACGCGTAAGCCTCAGTACATCTCTAAGCTCATGCCGTCGTTGATCTCGTAATCGGCGAGCGTAATGTGATCCTTGAATATGGTGTACCTGAACAGAAAGGAGTCAGTAAGTGTCATCCCGCATTCTAGTGTGCTTCGGGGGGTTAGTGAGAGAAGCAGGACGCACCATTTCTTCAGCTGGATCTTTTCGGGCTTGGTGCCAATCTGGGCAGCGATAAGCTTTTTCAGATCTCCAACGGTATCGTCGGGGCTGCACTTGACTCGGACTAGAGAAGACGACGACGTCAGCGAAGGCGAACATAGTAACAGAACAATGGGAAAGACGCACCCTTGCGGCCAAGTCGGTCATTAGCAATCACCTGAAAGTTCATCAGCATTACCATCCTTTGTTCGAAGTAAAAGATATGCTTACTTCAATTAGAGGCATGATAGTAGTACAGTTGAACAAAGCGAGTAGAAATGGTTAAAAAGGGAGTGGATGAAAATTATGTAGGCGGCTACGCACCGTTGCAGCAAGTCATCCCAACATGCCCTGAACGGATGCATTTCCTTCTGGACCGTTCCCCGTGCACGTGAAAAGTTCTGAGTCGCCGTTCACTCTTCGTCCAAAGACTAACGTCTAGGCAGAAAACCTCGTGTTCAACATCATCATCCGTATTAAGGAGGACGCCGCCCATGTCAAGTATTATGCCATGTACACGTAAACACATTCAATTGCAGTCAGATGTCCTGACCGTCCCTTTTCTCGGATCTTCTTAAACCGCCCCGAACTACGCCAGCTGCATGATCTGCGAAGCCGATGCGGATCAAGATGGGAGCCACGAACTTTCTGATTATCGTCGAGATCTGGAAACTTAGAATCCTTGTACAGGACATTACATCAAATTAGGATTTAGCTCAGAACCGCAGTTGTCATGATTGTCCACCGCGGCAGGATCGGCAACCGAGCGGACCTTCCACGAATGTACCACTGCGATAGCCAAGCTTCAGTATGTGCATTTGAGGGTTAAACTTCTCGTCGTTCACGCCATATGACTCCACGCAGAAATCTCGGCCACATACTGCTCGGCTTCCACACGCTTGGCCTTGTGCCATTATGTTCGAGTTGGTGGAGGTTGAATGCAGCCTTGAGACAAATTCGTTCTGTTCCCTAGGTCTGTTTCGACTGATCTGATCAACATCGGATCTTGCAAGGGATCTCTTTATATGGTAATTTCCTTGCAGGAAAGGGGAAATGACACCACTTTGTGGAGCACAGCTCGCTGGTTGACGGGCGAGGCGTCTAGATCACCACCCAGTATGCCTACTTCCTCATGGGTCAAGGACAGACACCAGCAGTCGGACGTGCGTTAAGCTACATTTATTTCTCTGGAATCCTCACGTCCTCATGTTTGTAACTAGACACATACGAAACAAAAAAAGGAATAGTAGCAGCAAATTGAGTGGGGCGAGATGCGCTCTGATACTTATATCAAACACATGAAAGGGAGAACCGCATGCAGATCAGACGGGACGGCACCGGCGACACCGACACCGCGTGTCGCCAGCCTTTTGGAATCTAACTAGAGAAGTGAGAGGATTAACGAAGAGGGATGCGTACATTGCAAAACGAATGAACAGGTGCGGGGATCAACAATGCCAAGGTCGAAACAGAGAAAAGGAAACCGTCAATCCTTTACTCCTTTTTTGGCTCGCCACCCTCTGGTGTCTGGCCCTCGGAGCTGCTGTCAGCCTCCTTCGTCTGCTGCTCCGCGTTCTTCTTCTCGTACACCTTCTGGAACAGGCCCAGAGAGGCATTCTGCGTCTCACTCATCTTCTCCTTGATCTGCTCGGCGGTGATGCTGGGATCGGCGGCCTGGCCCTTCACAGCGAGCTCGCGCAGCTCACCAATGAGCTTGGACACCTTCTCCTGCTCAGCGGCGTCGAGCTGGTCCTTGAAGTCAGCCATCGACTTCTCCGTGTCGGCACAGATCGAGTCGGCGCGGTTGGCCATCTCGATCACGTCCCTGCGAGCCTTGTCGCTCTCTGCGTACTTCTCCGCATCGTCAACCATGCGCTCGATCTCCTTATCAGACAGACCGGACGAGGAAGCGATGGTCATGGACTGGTCCTTGCTGGTAGCCTTGTCCTTGGCGGAGACGTTGACAATACCGTCAGCATCGATGTCGAAGGTGATCTCGATCTGAGGAACACCCTTGGGTGCGGGGGGAATGCCGACGAGGTTGAAGTTACCGAGGAGCTTGTTGTCGCGGACGAGCTCACGTTCTCCTTGGTAGATCTTGACCTCGATGGCGGTCTGGCCATCGGCGGCTGTCGAGAAAGTCTGGGACTTCTTCGTCGGGATCGTAGTGTTACGCATGATAAGCTTGGTCATGATACCACCGAGAGTCTCAATACCGAGGGAAAGAGGAGTCACGTCGAGGAGGAGAATGTCGGTAACATTACCGCTGAGTACACCACCCTGGATGGCAGCACCGATGGCGACGGCCTCATCGGGGTTAACACCCTTGCTTGGTTCCCGGCCGAAGAGGTTCTTCACGGTATCGACAACACGGGGCATGCGAGTCATACCACCAACAAGAATAACAGCGTCGATCTCGCTGGTCTTCACACCGGCATCAGTGAGCGCCTTCTTGCATGGGTCGATCGTGCGCTGAACGAGGGGAGCAACGAGGGACTCAAATTGGGAGCGAAGGAAGCGCATGTTGATGTGCTTCGGGCCGCTAGCATCAGCAGTGATAAAAGGCAGGTTGATCTCGGTCTGGGTCGCAGATGAAAGCTCGATCTTGGCCTTTTCGGCCGCTTCACGAATCCGCTGGATGGCCATGCGGTCATTGTTCAGCTCGACACCGGTCTCTTTCTTGAACTCGGAGAGGATGTGCTCGACCAGCAGGATATCGAAGTCCTCACCACCAAGATGAGTGTCACCATTGGTCGACTTGACCTCGAACACGCCCTTCTGCATCTCAAGGATAGAGATATCGAAGGTACCACCACCGAGATCGTAGACAGCAATGACAGAAGAGTCGGAACGGTCGAGACCGTAAGCCAGGGCAGCAGCAGTAGGCTCGTTGATGACACGGAGGACGTCGAGGCCAGCGATAGAGCCGGCATCCTTGGTTGCTTGCCGTTGAGCATCGTTGAAGTAGGCAGGGACGGTGACGACAGCATGCTTGATAGGCTTGCCAAGGAACTGCTCAGCAGTTTGCTTCATCTTAGTAAGAACCATGGACGAAAGCTCCTCGGAGGAGAACTGTTGGGTCTTGTCACCGTTCTGGACCTCGACAGCGGGCCTACCATCAGACTTAGGAACAACCTTGAATGGCCTAAGAAGCGACATAAATATACATCCAATTATATTAGGCTTTGGGGTAAACTTACCAGTGCTTCATGTCGTCCTGCACCTCCTTATCCTTGAACATGCGACCGATTAACCGCTTGAACGCAAAGACCGTGTTCTGGGAGTTGACAACGGCTTGACGCTTCGCCGGCAGACCCACCAGGCGCTCGCCGTGCTTTGTGAAAGCAACGACGGAGGGCGTGGTCCGCATACCCTCGGCGTTCTCGATGACGCGCGCTTGCTGGCCCTCCATAACGGAGACACAAGAGTTAGTCGTCCCGAGATCGATTCCAATGACGGGACCAGAGATCTTTGTGTTCATGTTACGTGCGATCATAGATCTCGGGAGTTGCTAGTTTCAACATGTCAGCTCGTTGGACCACGATTCAACATCAGAATGTCAACTTACAGAGTATCCCCCCAACCTAGAGGATCGTACGGCATAGCGAGCAGCCGAGAACATTTTGGATTAGAGCGCGCAGGGGGGATGAAGTGGTAGAAAGAAGAGAAGAGACGACGAGGGCGAGGACGGTGAAGAGGAAAAAAGGAAAGAGAGGAGTGAACCGGTCGGCGACAACTGAAGTACTTGGTCTCGAAATTTCGGTCGCAAGCAAAAACTGTCCTTTCACGGCTGCAATTTTGAGTGCATGGCTTTTCAGGCTCCGCCCACTTTGGCTCCGGATTCAGCCGACTTGAATGATGTAATCCACATGACCGACGCGCGTCTCTTTCCTTCATGGTCGTGCGACTCACCATGTTGCCAATTTAGCATTGGAAGAGATCTCAATTCGACCAGGGTGATGATTATTGAGTATGTTATTTAATTTGAATGTAACATCAGCATATGCCATCACAATGTCGATGCCCAACATTGCCCGGGATAATGCCGACAAAGGGACGTTCATCCAAAGAAGCTCCTGTTTGGTCCTACTGCCAAGTCAACGCTAGACTTGCTCATAGTCATTTCTACAGTACCGCAGAGTCATTAGTGATGAGGTCTACCTTTTAAGGAAAGAGGGCAAACGATGGGCATGCGGGGGTAACCCAAGCCGACGCGACGCGTTCGTTCCATTCCTGTTCCGGATATACAGAGACGCCCACGCTTTTCGCATCTCAGTCACCACTTGACTTGCAGAGATGGTAAAGCAGCTAGACGTGTTACTGATCTCGCTTCATCTGCTTCCAGAACTTCTAGCCTTCGCAGTGCTTTCCTCCAAAACGCTTTGCCAACCCCGATCATCCCGGTTCGTCATCTGGCTCACCTCCATTCCGATCTACCTCTATCTCGCACTATTCACCAGCACCGGTACTCCGTCACTCGACTACTTCCTAGGCCAATTCTGCGTAGTCCGCATTCTCTCCCTTCTTGACTTTCTCGTCATAACCGATGCCCGGCGAGATCTGTGGCGCGCTGATGATCATGACAGTGTCAAGTTCGCTGATCTTGGTTCTCCCCTGGCGAGAGCCGAGTGGGCCATCGGGCTGTTGTTCTTGAACCCCAGAGGCATAGGATGGAATTTCGAACCTAGGCATGCGCTTCCCCCCCACCCGGAAGAAGGCCGACTCGACTTCGTACTGCGTCAAGCTCAGCGCGGAGTCCTCGCTTTCCTGTGGTTCGATCTCATGGGCACGATAGCACGAACCGACACGGCGCTGCAGGTTGGCGGATCAGTCCTGAATCAAGGGTTGGGAGGGAGGGCGATGTACACTGTTTGGTGGTTCACGACCGTCTCGTCGGGATTTATCGTCAGTCATTCGATGCTGGCGGCTTTCTCGGTAGGACTCGGGATCTACCAACCGTCTGACTGGCCGAACCTCTTCGGTGGGGTGAAGTACATGTACACGCTTCGGAAGTTCTGGGGGTACGCGGCTTGCTACCTACGGTTTGTGCATCATGTAGCTGATTTGCTCTCAGTCGCGGTTGGCACCATAACCTCCGACGGGTACGCTGTGCCCACCTCTCATGCGCGCACTAACGACCCACAGTTCCTCGTATCCACCGCCGACTTCCTAACACTCCAAGTCCTCCATCTGCAGCCCAGCTCCCAACTGGCCTCCTATTCCCAACTCTATCTCGCGTTCCTCCTTTCCGGCCTCGTCCACTTCTGCGGAAGTTACGCGCTACTTCGTTCCCCCTCACTCGCCCTCTCGACACTGCAGTTCTTCGCCTTGCAACCGCTCGTGATCACCCTAGAAGACGGGGCGATCGCCCTCGGCAAGCGGCTCGGCATAAGCCCCGGAGTGGACGTGAGGATCCTAGGGTACACGTGGACGGCAGCGTGCTTGACGGTTATGGCGCCTTACTGGCTCGACCCGCTGGTTCATGCTGGCCTTGCGGATCCGGGTGAGCAGAAGAGCTTCTCAGTCGTACAGGGGTTGTGGAGGGGAGAATGGTTTGCTCCTGTTAGGCGATAAGCCGGGAACCGGACGACGTCGAGCTTCATATGTTCATATGCATGAAAGTCCTCTCTGGTTGGGAACTTTAGATGATCACTCGGTACCTTACTTCGATTTCGACGCCCACCGATTCTTCAGCCCATGTCAGATCAGTACCGATCACGACGATTTTCCCCCTTCCCTTGCCCAGCCCCACTGGCAGAAGAGGACGCAGTCCGAATCGAATCTCTAGATATCAAGAACCGAATCAAGCACATGCCAGAGGCTCCCTCAGCTCAGCTCGAGAAGAACCCCACTCTTCCCGGATTCGGAAGGGCACTCCAGCAAGCAGCGGGTTTGCGGAGTACGACTGGGAGGAAGGGAGCATAACTGTACTTTGACCCGTCATGTAGAGACGAGGGTGGTGCGTGGTTTTTGGAGTGGTAAGAACGGAGATGCTTGAGACATTTGGGAGACGTTTCCAGGGCGCATGTTTAGCTAGTCCATATATTTGGTTGACGTATACGTGTGCGTGTAGTGACGGGCGTACTGTACAGAGCTTATTTCATGCTACATATCCAAGAACAGTCCTCCAGCGCTCCCCGCCCCCCCGACCTTTGCGACAAACCTCCAGTGTTCGTCAACCCCTCCGGGTGAGCGTGGCCAGTGCTCACCTCCAGGATCTCTTTGGGTGTGAACGGGAGACGGGGGATCGCGCCCGCGGGAGAGAGGAGGTGCGAGCGTCAAACCGGTATGTAGCAGAATCAAGGTAGTATACCGTTCAGGAGGGATGGAGTGGGTGTTGGAGTAGTGCAGGGAGGTGCAGAGTCGGAGGGGAGTAATGCCTGGGCGAGGTGTTATATGAAGGAGGGGGACATCGGGTAGGGAGGAGGGGTATGGTATGTAAGTTGTGGGAGATTAGGCGGTGGAATGCCAGCGCTAGTGAGGATCAAGGTACGGCAAGATAGCCACGGTAACATTGATGTGTAATCCTGAGAAGCACGGGATATATTGAATGGGAGTAGAGTGGAGGGGTCTATTGTTGTTATTGATGATATCATGAGTGTGACCAAGAGTGCACGAGGTGATTAGTATGCACGCTGTAGATTATTATGAGTCACAAGGTGTCAGTGGAAAGTGTTTATTGTTCGGTGTGTCATTGGCTGATGGATGCGGTACCTCTCCTATGTAAGGGTCTGAAGAAAATGAGCCTGCCCTAAACATGAAGAGAAGGGTCTGGGCTGTGATAGTTTTGTGTCAAGGGTGAACGGTGCAATTATTCCCTGCGTCACTCTGTGTTCTCCTGCGGTAACAGCAGCGAGAGAGTGTTCACTGAAATCATCACAGGAGTTTCCCCTCCTCCTCCTCTCTTCCTCCCTCCTCCCTCCTCCTCCTCCTCCCTCTCTCCCCCCCCTACTAATAAAGTAGGCGCATACATTTGCTTATCTACTCTCGGAGTATACTGTCAACAACCACCCGCAATAACAAACTTCGATTTGTCACCTGCGGGCAGGTAGTGCCACTATCCTTCACCCAAACAACCCCGCGTACTGCTAGACAAGTACTCGCAAACGAATTCTCAATAGACGCTCAGATCCTCAACACCGTAAACCGTACTTCACCCAATCAATCCACCACATTCAGTGCGTCCATTATCATCCATCTCATACTCATACTCATCCACACACAGAATGAGCAAAGCATCCACCGCTAGCCTGCCAAAGACACAGCCATCTACTCCAGCCTCAGGTAGCTCAACGCCCGCAACAGCAGCCAGTAGCACACAGGCAACCCGTCCCGTCTCCGCCTGGTCCAGGGGGCCACCTCTCACCGCCCGCACAGCCCCGACCACCGCGCCCTTATCTGCTGTTCCCACCTCTGCCCCTGCCTCCGCCCCTGCTCCTGCTCCTGCTCCGGTACCTTCATCCGCCCCAGCACAGAAATCTGCATGGAACACACCAGCACAGGCTAGTCAGCCTCCGAGCGGGACGGTCACCCCGACCGGAACAGGAACAGGAACGCATGCGCGTAAAGCTAGCAGCGTCGTCAAGGATGGTATTGCCGCTGTAGCGGGAAACGGAGCTTCGAAGCCTGGTGAGTCACCCCGCCGTGTGCGCGCAGCGAGGCAGATTTTCTCATTTGATGCACGCACTATAGGGTCCGCGATGAGCTTTGGGAGCGTGGGCGAGAACGCTAGATCCACGCCGACTGCTGCTCCTGCTAGTGCTCCACCCACAGCGACTGTCGCTGACGCGAAGACGTTCGGCTCCCTGCCTGCTACTGCTAAAAAGGACGAAAGTGCATCGAAAAAGGATGCTCCTGCTGCCTCTGCTTCCTCCGAGAAGCCAGCGGAGAAACCAAAGGATCACAAGCCTAAGAAGAAGGTGGACTTGAACGCGTTATTCCAAGTCGTCCCTCAGCCGTCGAGCTCCGCTCCATCCCCGTCTCCTAGTACGACAGCTGGACCTTCTCTCCCTCCCACATCCCCTCCTCCTGCGGGTACCCCAGTGACCGGCCGCCCACCCACAGGGCAGGGACAAAGCAATATCTACAACTCGATCCCGATGCGCCCCCCGCCTCAGAACATGCCAATGATGCAAAACATGCCTATGATGCCTGGGAACATGCGGCCTTTTGTCCCTAGTGGGCCAGGCAGGGGCGGACCACCAGGTCAAGGACCGAACGGTGTTCCTCGCCCTGAGCCTGCTGGGGCTGGGCGAGGTGCTGGGCCTGGCCCAGGCCCGGGTCAAGGACAACAGCCTGGAAGCCCACCACCACATGGCAGGGGGATGATGTCCCCTATGATGGGGATGATGTCCTCCGGTCCGGGGCAGCAATGGGCCTACTACCCGGGCTTGCCCCACCCTTATTATCCGGAAGGACAGCCGATGCCTAACTCACCTTATACTTACTGGCCGCAAGTCCAGGTCCCACATCCGGGGATGCCTATGCAAGGCCAGCAGTACCCCCACCCGATGCAGCAACAGCAAGGGATGGTCCCCGTTCCTGTGCAGATGCAGTTCCAAGGAGGTCCCGGACCGGGACAAGGGCCAGGGCAGCAGCTTCTGGTTCCTCAGCACACTATGTCCCCTGGAGCACACGGTCGTCCTCTTCCAGGTCCTGGACCAGGAGCACAACAACAGCCTCTCCCAGGTCCGGGGACTCCCATCTCCATCTCCGGCCTACCTAGTCCGTTACCCTCCCACGTCCACCCTCCTGGCCAGCCCATACCTCAAGGTATCCAGCAGCTTCCTCCTACCCCTCTCCCACACCCCTCGACCCCCTCCACGCTGCGTTCCGCCCTCCCGGGACCTAACCCCCCCAACAACCCGAACTTCCGCTATCCCGCCCCCACCCCTACCCCCGGCGCACCCGGACCAGGATCCCTCACCGGGCCACCGACACCGGGAGGGGCGAGTCAGCTGAATTCCCGCGCTACGGAATTCGTACCCTCCTCGGCTAGGAAAACGATCAAGATCACCCGGGATGATGGGACTCCTGTCTCTCTCTCGGCTTTCTCTACTCATTCTCACGGGAGGTCTGCGTCCGTCATTGGCTCTGGCGCTTCGGCGAGAGGGTCACCTGCCCCGGGGACTCTGGAGTTGAAGGATACGAAAGAGGTCAAGAGGGTTGTGGTTAGGTTGGAGAGTGAGGCTGATAAGGCTCGCCGGGAGCGGGAGGCGAAGGAGAAGGAAGAAAAGGAGGCTAAGGAGCGGGAGGCGAAGGAGAAAGAGGAGAGGGAGGCGAGGGAGAAGGAGGAAAGGGAGGCTAAGGAGAAGGAGGAACGGGAGGCTAGGGAGAAGGAGGAGCTGGAGAGGAAGAAACGGGAAGAGGAAGAGAGGGAGAAGGAGCGCCTTCTTGCGGAGGAGAAGGAGAAGGAGAAAGCTAGGCTTGCGGCTGAAGCTGAGGCTGCGGCTGCGGCTAAGGCGAAAGCGAAAGCGAAAGCTGAAGCTGAGGAAGCGGAGGAGAAAGCGAGAAAAGAGGAAGAAGCGCGTGTCAAGGCTGAGGCTTTGGCCGCTGCTGCCCTCGTCGCTGCCGCTGCTGCCAAAGCCGAAGAGCAGCAGAAAGAGCTCGAGCGGCGGCAAGCGCAAGCGGAAGAACTGGCAGAAAAAGCCGATACTCTCTCTGCTCTACCCTCTGCTGGTGCTTCTGCTTCCCAAACTCCTACTTCTCCCTCAACACCTGACCTTTCCGCGGCGTCTATCTCCCTTAAACCCCTCAACGGAGGGTTCTCGGACGCGAAGATCCGCCGTCCTGTTCCTGGTGCGCTGGACCTCAAGTCCGCCTTAAACGCAGCGGCCAAGTCTGCCCCTCCGCTCTCTTCTGCCCAGGCTTCCGCCCTGCTCTCCGCCCGCCCAATAGAAGACATAAACGCCATCCAGTACCCCGCAGGCATCCGCACGCCCAACCCGGACTTGAACGCACATGGCCCGCCTGGCAAGTTCAGGTACGACAGGGACTTCCTCATGCAGTTCATGAACGTGTGCAAGGACAGGCCCGAAACGCTCCCACCGCTCGACGCGATCGGCATAGAGAACTCGGACGCGATGACACAGCAGTATCCTCAGGGCGGCGGGCGGGCGCCCGGCGGGCCCCAGGACAGGCGGAACAGGGCTTCCGTTAGCGGCAAGCTTGGACTTGGGATCACTGGGAATCCCGGAGCACCATTTGCCGGCAAAGGCGGTTTCTCGATGGGCAACTTCCAGGCTCCTGTGCGTGCTGGTGCGGAGGGAGATAGGTACAGGAGCGTCTCTTCCTTTGCTGGCCCGGCTGGGGTCGCTCTCGTCGGAAGGCCGGTGGCGATGACGCGTACTGCTAGTGGGAGTGGGCTTTCTGGCCAAGTACCTGGTAGTCCCGGTGGTGGGAACAGGAACAGGAGCTTGCGTGGTCGTCAGCGGCCTGAGAGTAGACAACCATCTCAGATGATCCCGCCCCCTAACACTCCTGGCTTCGAACCGATCGAGCCCCTGCAGAAATCAGAAAATCGCTGGAAACCCCAGCTCGCTGTGCCCCGGAGTCAGCGGGATCGTGAACCGGCCGACACGCCCGAGATGGTCGAGCGGAAAGTCAAGGCGTTGCTCAACAAGCTCACGCTGGAAAAGTTCGACTCTATTTCGGACCAGATCGTCGGTTTCGCCAACCGTTCCGAGCAGGAGACGGACGGCCACACGCTTATTCATGTCATCAAACTCGTGTTTGAGAAAGCGACTGACGAGCCTGCGTGGAGCGAGATGTACGCGCGTTTGTGTCGGAAACTCATGGAGCGTATTAGCCCCAAGGTGTTTGACGTCCAGGTCAAGAATGCCGAGGGGACGCTTATCGTCGGCGGCCAGCTTTTCCGCAAGTACCTCTTGAATAGGTGTCAGGAGGACTTTGAGCGTGGCTGGGCTGCTAGGCGCCAGCTTGCGGAGGAGAACGCGGGTGGACATGGGAAGGAGGGAGAGGAGGCGATCTTTTCTGACGAGTACTACGCTGTGCAGAAAGCGAAGCGCCGGAGTCTGGGTCTGGTCAAGCTCATCGGTGAGCTGTTCAAGCTCCAGATGCTTACCGAGCGGATCATGCACGAGTGTATACGCAAGATGTTGGCCAACGTCGAGAACCCCGAAGAGGAGGAAATCGAGTCCCTTTGCAAGCTTTTGACGACTGTGGGCCAGCAGCTGGATACGGAGAAGGCAAAGGCGCACATGACGATCTACTTCCAGAGAATGAAGGAGATGGTCAAGATCCTGAGAGAACGTGCGGAAAGGAAGGAAGTTTCTTCTCGGATGATGTATATGCTCCAGGTATGGAGACTCTACTTCGTCCCTCACTACAGTGACTCATACATCGTTCTTTAGGATATTATTGATCTCCGTGAGAGGTACAACTGGCAACCTAGACAGAAGGGCTCCGCCCCGGGTCCTATGACCATCGCAGAGGTTCATCAAGCTGTACGTATATTACTTCCTTCGGTTGATAAAGCTGATAACCATGTGCAGGCTGAGCGTGAGCAAGCCCAGAAAGAGGCGGAGAAAGTTCGGCAAGCTATGTCCCGAGGCGGGTCACGGCGCGGGGATCCCCGCGAATACGGTCCCGATGGTTGGCAGAACGTGCCCAGTGGACCGGCTGCCAGAGCACCGGCTCCTGCAAAAGCTGGAGATCTGTCCAAGTTCGGCAACATCAGCAAGCAAAGCGGCCCGATTGGCGGCTTCGGTCCTTCGAACGTGTTCAAGAAAGCTGATCCCAAGGTTGCTCGTTCTGAGGCTGCTGCTACGCCCACAAGGACGAACATGTTCAACATCCTTAATGCGGCAGATGGCACAGCAGAAACAGAGGCTATGGCACACAAGGCACCTAGTCGGAAACCTAGTGTCGACCTCTCCGCAGGCGCTGCCGCACAGGAAGCCGGTGGACAGAGGAAGAGGCTCAAGCTGCTTCCTCGTTCGATCCCTCTGGCAAAAGACGAGGAAAGTGCACCACCGTCCGCCGTCGAGAGCATCGATGAAGTTGCTGGCATGTCCGAGCAGAAGGCAGAGGCATTGATCAAGGAAGACATCCAAGAGTTCTGGCAGGTTGGCGATCTTGGTGAAGCTGCCAACTACTTCAAGGATCTGCCGTCGAACTACCATGACAAACTGATCGACAAATTCGTCAGCGACGCACTCAACAAGAAGGATGCGGACATCGTAATGGTTGCGGGTGTATTCTCTCGCTGTGCGGCTGCCGGAACAGTGTCGCCAGAGTCCTTCAAGAAAGGTCTTCTCCCGACCATCGAGTTCTTGGATGATGTCGCTGTCGATGTGCCTCAGGCTTATCCCTTCATGGCAAAACTCCTAAAAGGGACACAGTTGTCTCAAGCTGACTTGGAAGAGCTGGCTAGTAAGATTAGCGTAGAGGGCAGCCCACTTGTTGCGCCCAAGGACAAGCTCCTGAAAGAAGTGGCCAAGTTAGCATGATGAGTACGTGGACATTCTTGACGTGCATGAACATCCCGCTTACAAATTATTATAGTTCCCACGTGCAACAATATTCCATATCCACAATTCATTGCACTTTTCTCATGATGCAGACCTGTCTATAACTCCTTTGCACATATTTGTAGCATGCACCGTAATGCGTCTACATACATTTTACTTTCTGTTGTTCATCCTCTAATTGCTGGTTATTCCTTTTCGATCTCAGCTGGTAGTGGTTTTCCTTCGATGTAGATCCTTGCGAGCTGGTTGTAGCATTACTACTTTCGGGAAAATCCACCGCTTCCCTGACTAGTGCAATGGATAGACTTAACTTACCCTCACGGTGATTCTCGACTGAGCTTGATGGTTCGAGAATGTCATTGCTTGAATAGTTCACCAACTTGATGTTCGTCCGAGATCGGCGACCGAGAATACCACAATGAATCTCTATACATTTGCGCAATGCGAGTTACAGATACTGATGATCATCTACTCCGTCCATCTCCAAGCCGCTTCATGCATAAATTGCCGAGGATAACCAATCCCCACCCTTGTCATCCTCCAAGTTACACCATACCCGCTGAAATGGCTGAGTCTTCTCCTCAGTGGTCCACCGCCAACCTCGGCGTCCTCGTCCCTGGCGATCCCGTCCTCTCGCTGCGCTATCTAGACAGTCATCCCCTTCCCCCTCAGGAGCCGTACACAACTATCATAGCCGTCCACGGGACGGGGTACAATTCCCGTACGTCCTTCCTTTGTCAGGCAACAAGGTGCTAACATTGGCCTGCGGGTGGAACAGGCATCTGGCTCCCCCTCCTGCCGCATCTTCCGCCCAGCGTCCGACTACTCGCGTTCAACCGCCGTGGCCACTTCGGCTCCTGTGCGCCGTACGTGAGTAGTCGGCCTGGATCGGGGAACGTCGACGGGTTCGGGAGGCACGTGCTGGACTTGGCGGGGTTTGTCAGGTTTGCCGTCGAGGTTCTTGGAGTGACTCCGGCACGAAAGGAGGGAAGGAAAGGGGGGGTCGTATTGCTGGGATGGTGGATTCAGTTTGTCCTATTGCTTGTGAAGAGAAAGTGACACGGGCGATGGCAGGTCAAAAGGCTGCGCCTACCTGCTCGGTCTTCTCTCTTTGCTCACTCCCGCTCCACACGTTCTCTCCCCTCCTGCGCCGATCGACCCCTTCCTTCCCGCTCTTCGTCACATCCATGGTGCGATTCTATTCGAGCCTGTGCAGACGATTTTCGGCCTTCCCGGCCCAGGTATTGGCGGCCCAGGACTGGAAGGTGTATTCCGGGAGGAGATGAACGACACTTTCGGGGCACTTTTATTTGAAACTGTACCGGAAGAGAAGCGTCGTATTGTCGGAGATGCGGAGGATGGGGAGGAGGTGCTCAGGGATGATATCAGGACTTGGAATGGGGCGACAAAGGAGCAGATGATTGCGCTTTGTGAGAGGGCGGTAACCTCGGAGACAGGCGTTAAGCTCGCTACGCTATACTGTACGCTTCCTTCCTTGGATGTGTATAGGCTATGTGCTGACCAAAATAATAACAGGCGAAGGGACGAGCATGGAATTGCTTGTCAATGGGGCGAAATGGGTGAATGAACGCTGCAAAGGAGTGCCTGGGTTCTGGCCGGGCATTATCAGGGGAGGAGACCATTTCGTGATGGCGACAGATCCTGGATTGTTTGCACAGAGTTTGAAGGATGCGATGAAGGGTATGGAGATTGGTTATTAGAGAGCATCCAGGATTGAAAGGAGAAAGCAATGTTGCCCCCAACTGAAAAGAAGAAATAATTACCATCCAATGTTCACGTGACTTTCATTCCGCGTCATCTGCGGCTTCATTCGGCATTCAAAATTTCGTCCCTATCTAAAGAGTTGCAAAGTTGTGTCCCTGCACCGGTCAGTAATGGACACCAACCAGGCATCTCCCATCTATGCACAGGGGATCACTCACCCCCTGCTACCACCCTTGGGTGGACCGAATCCTGTATTACCTCCAGAGCTGACACCGGAGGAGAAGACTGCGGTCCTTACCCAGCTCAGATGGACGAGATATTCCCAGATCGGCATGGAGAGCTGTGCGTTCAAGACTCTTGCGAGCGGGACTATCGGTATGTCTATTCGCTGCCTGGGTATCTGCTGTCCGATGGGGTGTCCTGGGATATTTGATGAGTGTGAGATACATATTGAATTCTGTGGTAACCTTCCCTCTAGGCTTCGGTCTTGGTGCATTCATCTCCCTCATGTCCGCTTCTCTCCAATACGAAGACCCTATCCTGCGTCAACAATCTGCAGCAGGACAAGCACTCAGCTCAGGACAAAAGACGCTCGAGGTGTTCAAGGAGATGGGTCGGGGGATGTGGCGGAGTGGGAAGGGGTTTGGCAAAGTTGGCGCTCTGTATGCCGGGTCGGAGTGTGTGATCGAGAGCGTGCGTGTTCCTCTTTTATATTTCTTGTTCTAGGGTCGTTGGCTCATGCGATATACGGTGCAGTATCGTGCTAGGAACGATATGACCAATGCCGTGGCTGCGGGGTTCGTATCCGGCGCCATCCTGGCCGCGAGCTCAGGCCCCAAAGCAGCGTTTGGAGGTGGACTGGCGTTTGCAGCATTCTCTGCTGCTATCGACATGTTCATGCGGAGAGAAACAAAAGAGTGAGTTTTGTGATTTAATGGGAGTTGTTAGCGAGAAGAACTGACGCTTTATGTAGGGAAGACTAGATCTGATGAAATCTGCTCGCATACATATACCTTGCATCTTGATACCCCTTACTACAATCTTAATGACAACCACACCTGTCCTAAGATGTCGGGAAACCACTGGTCAGCGCAAGATTCATGAGATATATGATTTCTAAATGAAACATTAACAACTATGCAGTATGGTACAGTATCCAATGGCGGATATCCAATCTGCTCTATCAATCCAGCACTCAGTTGACTCTCCTTCGCTTTCCCGGTAACCGTCCCCGTGCCTCAGCATGCATCGCGGCCTTCCTCTTCTTCCCTCTCTCCTTCATAGTATTCCTCCGCTGCCTATCCCTCGCCGCCGCTTCCGGAGCCGTCATCTCCCTCACCACCCGTTTCTCCTTCCGCTCTCGCCTCACCTCCCCCACCCGTTGCCGCACCGCATTGTATGAGTTCGCAAACACTGTCGTCCCCACCTTTTGCTGGAGGAGATCTTGAAGGTCCCTTCCGAGTGTTTTCAGCTCGTCCATCTCCTTGTCCCTTATGTTGTCGTCCTCCATGATCCTGTACAGAGGGCCCAAGATGTGGGGCAAGAACCCTTTCAACACCTCCGGTTCAAGATGTGCAGACATACCCGCAAGCCAGCGGAGGACGGCCAAAGGGTGCTGTGACCAGCTGGAGGAGGAAAGGGACGCGGAGATGCTGGACGTACGTGTGCGAGAGGTGTGTGCACGCCGAAGCTGGAAGGAGAGGCGGGTGAAGAGCCATGCGAGCGGGTTGGCGAGTATCGATGCGGTTGAATCGTCTTCATTTGCTTCTTCCTCATCTGCTTCGTCTTCGTCGTCGTCCTCACCGGATGCCGGGATGTCTTCGGGAACTGGCTTCGGAAGAACCGAAATGGTACCAAAGCATTTTCCAACGAAAAGGAGATTCTTGACGATTTGCAAACTATGGTCAGCATTGAGGTTGTCACTTCGCAGCTGTAGTGTTGAGAGGCGAGCGACGTCCACAAGCAGAGGAAGGCGATCCCTCCCGAGCGTCTGCAGGTTCTTCTCGTTCTGAGTGGTTGCAGAAAGTACCAGCAACGCGAGGCGCGCGGCTGCCAGGCGCACCCAGCCGTGTGGGAAGAGGAAGAGGGACACGACAAGCTCCAGTGGGATGGCTGTCGATGAGGCGAGAGCAGGATAGAGTTGACAGAGCTTGGCTAAAGAGGCCAACGCATGATAGGCAGCTCGCCAGTCCAGATCGACCTGCATGTCACCCTCGTCCTGTTCCATAAGCTTGAAGTCTTTCTCACTTCGGACAATGACGTCAATGAGATCTTGCAAAACAACAACGGATGCCTTCTCCAGTGCCGGGCTAGACGAATCCATTAGCAGACCATAGACTTGTGCGGCAACAGCGGGTAGCTCTGGTTGATCAACTTGATTAATCCACAGGTGCACTCTTGTAAAAACGGTCTGCTGTTGCTGTCGCTCTATGCGGCCGAAAAGCTTTTTGATTAATGCTGCGCCCATCTCCCGGCAGTTTGCAGAGTCGTCATTCGCCAAGTCCATGACCAGAGCTGCGAAGATCATATCGACGTAATCACGCAGAAGATCTGGCTGGAACTTCTCGAGAACAGCACCGAGCAATTCCATGACGGACAGTCGTCCGCTCTCGAACTCATAAGACAGATTGGTCGCCAGGAATGCCATATGCTTGCGCAGGCGACCTTTGCCTTGCGGGTAGTCTAGCAGGAACTGCAGAGCAATGCCTCTGCATGCTTCCCGCACTTGGGCAGATTGATTCGTTACCAGAGCATCGAATACTTGATCCATCAAGTCATATATTTCAGGCGCAACGAATTGTCGAGCTATGACGGAGCGCAGCAATGTGAATGCCGTCGATTGTCGTTCAGGTTCCTCGAGCTCTGGTCCGATCAACTCAAGGAGATACTTTAAGTCAGATTCGACAATCTTGGCTTTCCCACAATCTCGAAGAATAGTTGCGAGGGACTTGAGGGCTGTCTGCGCTACTTGTGCGTCCAGGCTACCTGATCTCCGGACAAGATTCAAGAGCCTCTTGACAAAAACACCTAAGCTCTTTTCGGCGGAGCGAAGAGGACACTTCAAGATCGCGGCTGACGCCTTTATGCTCGCTATAGCAACTTGAGCATCATCTGCATAGAGAGCTTCGCCAATCAAGGGTACCATAGGCTCCAATCTTATGACAATGCCTTCATCCTTGAGGTCAAACCGATTGCGTCGAAAGGCTGTCAGAAGGAGATCCAGACCGAAAGCAACGAATTTTTGCAGGTTATCTGCTTGAACTACGGTAGGCTCTGCCATCTTGCGGTTCATTTGAACTGCAAAGTCTGATGCGATATGTTTTCCATTAGCCGCTTTAGGCGTAGATTCGTCGGCAAGCTTGATGCGCTGGGTGATGAGGGTATGACATAAACTGAGCACATCCTCAGCTGAGAGGTGCTGGTTGGAATTCAGTCCAGTGGCAATGCGATGCAGAACGTCATTAACGAGATGGACGGTCTTCTGGGTATCTGTCGACTGCAAGATTGCGCGGAGAGGTGCAAGAACGTCTCGGACATGCCCAACAGTAACATAGCGCGAGATGATCTGGAATGTCTCCAAACCCTTCGAAGACGAGCTGCGGACTTCTCTGAAAGTCGTCTTGAAGCCCTCATTCATGACATCCTTGCCTGACTGGCCAAAAATTACTTCGGAAGCGACGTGAGCAATGCCGGCAGCGCTTGAGTCCATCGACGTGAACGGAGATGCAAGGGTTGGCTGGGTCACATGAACCAGCAACCCATGTACAGAAACCGCGAGAACATGGAGTTGGGGCCCACGAGTCAGTGCTTCACGTAAACTCTGCACAATCTTGGATAGATAGTCTGGACCCAATACCATGGCGATCTTGAACAGAGTTTCCCGCGCCAATTGTCGTGTATCGTGAGATCGACTACGGAGGACTTGTGAAAGGGTCGTAAGCAGGCGAGTGATCTGTGGGTCTCTGTCGTCCACGGGCAGCTTGAGAGCGATGCAGATGATACCATAGGCGATCGGCACCCGGATTTCGTCTTCTGTGGCGGTCCTATCATTCATGTAGGACAGTAGAGAAGGAAGAAGTCGTGTCGTCACTACCTCAATAATGTGCTTTGCCTGTGGAGATTGTGTTTCAAGAGCAACCTCGGCAACCTTCAAACTGGTTGAAGGTTCCATAACTTCTTCCGTATCCATCCCAATATCGTCCTGTTCAATGTCTGCCAAATCTTCTTCTCCATCGGCTACGATTGGGTCATTTAAGGGGAAGCTGAATTTCTCCAGGATGACGATAAGTGCACGAATATATAGCTTCTCGCCAACAGTTTTACGTCGACCCAGGCGCAGGTACTGTTGCACAAGCGCATAATATGACCGCCATGGCAATCGTGTAGCAATTACGCCGAGACAGGTGATCGATTCGTTCAGAATCTGGTGATCCGCGGAGCCATCGATAAGATAGTGGTTGATCAATGGGATGAAAACGTCGGTCAGTACTCCACTGCCTAAGTCGCCTGCCCGAACATGATCTGCCAGCCGTCTCAAAGCGCGAGTACGACGATGGACTTGGATATGGAAAAGGTTGGCCAATACACTGGCTTCTTCATCCCCGCCAGCCAACAGAGTTCGGAGCTCTCGCAGAGTTACAGTGAAATCACAACCCTCAGCCGCGACGGCGAACAAAGAAAGAACTTCTGACTTGACGAGATCCGACTTTGAGGCGAGGGCCTTTCGAAGTCCAGGGTAAATCAAGCGAGTAAAAACAAGCTGAAACTCCGGAATAGGTTGTTCTTTCATCCTTTCAATAAAACGACGAATGACGAAAGCAGCATTACTGCGAATTGAAAGCTCTTCCGTGTCCTGTACGAAATATATGGCGTTCCAAAGGATGGGCTCCCATTGCAAGTGTCCCATGATGAGATACTGCGTCTCGTTGATAATATTGAAGGCAGCAAGACGACGGTCAAAATCTGGCTCTTCTGGCCGGTTTATAAGAAAAGCGTTCAGAGAGCCAACGAGTTCACCGATCAAGGCATATTTTGGATGTGAGTCGACTAAGCTCCTGAATGCCGAGACCAGACTCAATCGAGCTTGTCGCTCCCGTACAGACTGAAACAGATTGCCAAGTTGTTCGTACGTGTCGACGAAAAAGGCGGAAAATGGATCCTGCAGCTGTGGGACCAGTTTGGAGACAGAGGCGTAAATCTGGAGCGCGTCTGAAACTACTCGTTCATGTACAGGTTTACCGGTGTGGTGCAAGACGGGTTTCAGAGCAACAACGAGCTGTTCGGCATGCGTGGGATCTATCACATGTGGAGCCAATTTCGAGAGAAGATTGATTTCTCGCTTCACAATATCATTTGGGGGCTTCTGACCGCAAGACGATAGGGAATTTGACAGGGACGCAAGAATAGACTGAACGTTCGGAGACAACACTGCAGCCGCCACCGGGGCGTTTGAGGCAGCCGAGTCGAGGATATGATCGAAAATGTCGAGCACCTGAGACGTCACTGTGGATTTCACATTGACAGCGTTGAGCAGCTCAGCAATTCGTGGGATCACCAGCGCATTGTATTCAGCCAAAAACATGCACCAATCAGGTTTCTCAGACCATGTATAAAACAGTCCCATCAAAGCCGAAGGCGCTTGACTGTTTTCGACCTGCAGACGAAGAAGCCGTGGGGAGATCAAGGTTCGGAACATTTCTGGCAAATATGGCCTTAAGTCGAGGTTGGGACAACGTTTGCAAAAGTCAGCGACCCTTTTCAAACCGAGTTGACGGGAAGTGTAGTATGATCGTGTGGGATCTCCATGAGTGGAGGACTCTGAGCCTGCGTCGCTTTCCGCTTCGGCATTCTCGTCTGCCAAGTCACGTGACTGAGCTGTCAAATCGATCTTCTGCTGAGCTGTGCGTAAAATCTCGAGGGTCGTGGAAAGCAGGGCGGGCCAGTATGGTTGAAGAGCAGGAGCCAAGTATGTGAGAACATCTCCCAAGAGACGCAGGTAACCCACTTGCTGTGTGCCTGTAGCGCTGACTTCCACGTCGGAGAACCGGAAAACTTCGGGTATGGATTGGACGAATGCACCCTGGAACGGATCGAGCATCAGCAGGACCAATGTTCGCAATTCGTCTGAGGTACATGTCGCCAAGGACGCTAGGATAGCTCTCCTCCGGGCCCTTCCCTTGGATGTTCTCCTGATCATCACGCCGTATAATAAGTGCATGAGAATAGGAACCACTTCGGCCCGGGTTTCATCAGGGAGGTCTTGAAGGTTAAGAGACGACAGCTCATCGCGAAACTTGGTGCCATCAAGAAGTAGTCTCAATTTCTCGCTGTACGACTTCAAAGGTGAACTAGAGTCGGTCAGAAGACAATCGATGGCTAAACGTTGCAGAGAGGACTCCGGTGTGCATAGGCAACCCAAGTAGAGTTGTTGCAGTGTTGATCCGCGATATAAAGCCCGGGGGTTCGAAAATTTCGACAAGAGGTTGAGCCAGTTGGCAAGGCGGGAGCGTATTCTACGGGGTATGGCGCGGGTACTGGAGATGGCCACGTCATCCGCGTCATGTCCGATCACTCGGAAGAGCAGAGTGATTAACGTCCGATTGTTCTTCTCTGCCAAATTTGGCATGAGGGCAAGAGTTTTTAGAAGTTGGCCCTCGAAATTTGCCACATCCAATCGTTTTGGGTCAAGCTGAGCTTTGCGAAGGCTTTCCAGCTCATGCGTGTGTCCTGGCTTGGACATGTCCGCTATGAGGCGATCGAGTTTGGCCAGGCTCGGATCCCGAAAAGTGCGCTCGTCTTCAGTATCGACAGGATCGTCACTTGCTGACGCGGACCATTGAGGGTCCGGTTCAACCAGCTCTTCTGGTCGCAAGGAACTCGTTTCGAGTTGTCGGAACAAATGCTCCCATGCTTCATCGGGATGGGACTGGATGATTTTCGCCAGTGTCTGAGATGCTGGATGCCAGAGCGGTCGAAGATTGATCTTGAGCTGGGCGACGAGCCAATCCACTGCTGCCAGGCTGTTGACGTGTTCTGTTTTCATTACACGTTCTCGAATCTTCTCCATTGATAATGGAACCTCTTCCGCATTGAGACACTGCTTATACGCGTCGAGGTCTTCTTTGCTGATATCAGCAGCGCCTGAGCACAAAATCTGTAGGACTGCTGTCCGCATGCCATGACTCTGGGAATGCAGGCCGAATTGCAAATCAGATTTGTCTGGTCGTGGATGAAGGGCTTTCTTTGAGGCTGTGACTGCACTGGCTATCGCCTCCATGACCTGGATATTCCAGTTCCATTTCTTCAATATAGTCGGAACGTAAGCGGCGATGGCGTCAACTTGTTCTGAAGTTACTGCATACTTCAGGCATTCTGATAAAGCCCATGACTGGTTCGCAGGTGTCTGTTCCCATTCTTCTCTGGCTGCCTCAGTGGACATAAGCTTTTGGATGAGAGACGCGATGTCGAAACGTGATGGTAGGAACGGTAAGACGATAAGGATGTTGGATAGGTCGCAGATATCGTCTCTCGTTGGGGACTGATATCGTGCAAGTCGGTCGGAAGTCCAGGTGCTTAGTGTCTCCAAAAGCCCTCGTCCACCTGTCACGCCAGCAACGTCTTGCAACATTCCCTGCCTGGTCAATTCTCCGAATAATCTTAGCGCAAGCATTGGCTGTTTTTCCAGGATCGTCTTGTGATGAAGCAGCACTAGCGGCTGCCCGAAAGTGATCCATCCTTTCCATTGCGCTTCTACTAGGGCTTGACTAACGAGCACAGCGAATGTCGCGTCGTCCTTCTCCCACAACGTGGTGAGCATCCTTTTCCCCTCGCTGGCCCATATTGGCAAGTTAGAGGCGATCAGAGAGGCGGTGCAGAGATGGACCAGCCCTGGTGATATTGGGAGGGTGGACAGGATGGGGATGATGCGCTTGAGGTGCGTCTCTTGCATACGAGCCCCTTTTCGTACTGTGATGGGTACACGGATGACGGATATCCACTCCTGGACGGCGTCGCCTTCAAATAATCCTTGTGCGTCTAGGAGAGCGTCCATGAGGGGACCGAAATGTGCTTGCGTAGTGTGGTGTAGCAATGAGGTGAGGACGCGCTTCAGGGTAAGAAGGAGGATATCGGAGTGATAGTGAGAGGCCACGTAGGACATAATGGAGCGAAGTACGGTAGGTGCTGACGGCGGGTGACCGTGGTTCGGGGACTGGGTTGCAATCAGAGACGCACGCAGGTCGGTCAGCAAAAGACGTACCTTCATCCCCTCAACCAACGACACTGCAACGCAAAACTCCCCTCCTTCCTCTGCAAGCATACTTTCCACCAGCTTCTCCCGTTGGGAACTCTGAAGCCTTCTAATTGTTTTTCCCCATGCCTCTGCTATCAGTCTGCCGATGTCGCCGCCCTCCCTGAAAGAGCTCGCAATCTTGATCCATGTTTCTGAAACGAGAGAATGTTCGGAAGACGGAACTAAGATGTATTTGAAGAGAGAAGAGAGGCTGCTGAGTAGTGCTTGCAGTGCTTGTTGTGGAATTATATTGTTTAGGCGGCTCAATAGCTGATCGAGGAGTTGCTGGTAAACCGGTACGAGAGTAGCGCGTAGATCATATATGAGCTTACTCAATAGACTAAAACAATAGTCATCAAACATCATGCAGTAGAATACAGGGAAATAAACGCACTCGGATAATGCCTGCAGCGCATCCAACTCAGCCTTCTTAAAAGCGTTGATCCAGATACCGATAACTTGTTGCCAGTTATGGAGCAGTAGGTTCATAGACTTTGTAAGCGGATCAATCTCATCTGCAAACTCTGTGAAAGACAAAGTGAGATTGAGTTCCCTCCAAGAAGCGAGCGATTCATGGAAGGAAGACGAGGCGTCGTCTATAGTTGTGGTGTCCTCAATGGAGGGTAGGATGGGGACATGTGTAGATTTGAGCAGAGATGCTTGGGATCGGAACTGTCAATAGTTTAGTGTTAACTTACGTGTACATAAGAGCGTGCTTCACCTTATGCCTATTGGAAGATTCCTCTTCCATTATGGCTACGACCCCGAAGGGCAGAACGAGTACAGAACGCCAAGTGTAGGACAAGACGAAAGTTCAAACTGAATGGTCAGGGACCAAAAAGTTAAGTGGCAGTACGCTTTTGTCATTCACATGCATTGACAGGAGCAAAACGGTGTTGAAGAATATTTGATCGCTCACGATATTAATCTAGAATTAGTTATACATGTTCACCTTGACTATATGGGCTGACTTCCAGGCCTACACTCCCCTCTTACATATTGAAACAATTACGCAGAGCTCTTGAGTATATCAACTTATATTCTTATCTCATCTTGAAAGATAAGTGCCAGTTCAGAACTCAATGTTGGCCATGAGAGGCAACATCATTTGCAGGCAGATAGGTGGTTCGGTTTAGTGGAAGGGGCCTCTGTATGTTCATTGTATGAGGTGCTGTGTGTGAAAGACGTTCTATGATCAGAGGTCCTTATTACACAATTCAGGATAGATGGATAGTGCGCCAAACTAGGGATATTCTATATTGGTGAGTGCCCTGTTCCATGGGTTATGTGTTCCCCCAACTCACCTTCCCAGACTAGAACAACATTCCATCACCTGGAAATACAGCTGGTTATCTACAAACACAATCTGCTTTGCTCCAGAATTCTGACTGGACCATGGCACTTCACCCCCTTAACTGGGTGTACTATTGCCTTATTGGCCTGCATTCTTTTGCTCCATTTGTTGGGGACTGTCTTCCATCACAAAGATCAGATCATTCTTTCAGTTGAACTGGATCTTTGAGGATAAATTATCTTCATTGGTTTTATCTATGCTGCCCATGGGTGCCTGGCCAACCACATATATACACCTGTGTCTTGCTGGAGGAACCACTTATTAGAGGGGCTCACAACATGTGTCTGGGCCTCATGGTAGAGGATTCTGTGGGAAAGACCACATCCAGCAAACGTCCTGCTGGTCATGCAGGGCAGTGCACCAGACTTCCAGAAGCAGAAGGCTATGATATGTCCTGTGTGCTGGGAACAAGAGCCAGAACGGCTGCAGATTCATGTTGTTAAGGTCCAGAAGGGGAGAAATGATCATAGAGCATTAATTATCTAGAATAGCTCTATTACATTATTATTGTCTCCTGATGAGCCATATGAAATGAGGGGAATTGGGCCACTCCCAAGAGGAAGTGTCAGGGCACCAGCTCATTGCTTGGTCAAGAGACATGACTAAGCCTTTATGACATGGAAGTAGCTGGTATACCTTGGCATGTGCTGGAACCTGCTGGAAGGATTGGATGGTCAGGTGACCTGCTGTGCATGG